ACAATTATCATAATCAAGAAAAAAGAAAATATAAAAACCTACATCAACACATAGCACCTTAGACTTCTTTTAAATGACAGCTTATTACAAATCTGACGAACTTCAATGGGAATGTTGTTCCAGATGACACAAGCTCTATACAGGACGGTTTTCTTCATAAAATTCGTTTTTGGATAGGGGGTCATTATGTGACCGTTATTTGCCATTCTGGTGTTATGATTGTGCACTGAGTTACAATACACTAATTGATTAAATAGATAAATAGGCATTTTTATTGTTGTTGTTTTATATATCATAGTGCTTAAAGTAACTGTTATTCTTTGGTCTAAAGTGAGCCATGAAAGAGTAGAATACATCTGTTCTCTACTTGTTTTTAATTGAGGCAGCCAGAACAAGTCTTGCCGCTTTATTTTGCACACCTGAATTTTTGTCAAATCCTTTTTAGATGCAGAGGACCACACCTCAATGCAGTAAGACAAGTGACATAATATTAGTGACTCTGTTACTGTTTTTAGAGTTTTCTGATTCACATAATTACAACATTTTTTTGTTACTGCAATGCCACATCCCATTCGGTTAACAATAGTATTTATGTGTTCCGTCCAGAAAGACTACTATCAATCACCACACCCAACAGTTTAGCTTTTTCTACCTGTTTCTATACTTTGCCCGGCTATCTGTAACTTTAATTCCGATCCAAGCCTCAATTTTTGTTTTGATCCAATGATCATACTTTTAGTTTTTGGATAAATTTAAGGCTAATTTGTTTCTACTAACGCCACTTATACACTGCATCCAATTTATAGACAGAACATGATTAAGTTTGTCACATGAGTCTGAAGCATAGTAAACAGTTGAGTCATCTGCAAACATTGTCACTGATGCTTTTTTGACAGTTAAGGGCAAATCATTAATAAAGACTGAAAACAAAAGAGGACCCAAACAACTTCCTTGTGGTAAACCACAGACTAAACCTTTGTAATTAGATAAAGAACCATTATAAAAAACCCGCTGAGTTTCTATGTGAAAGATAACTTTTCATTAGTGCAACCGCAGAAGGAGAGAAGCCGTAGCTCTTCAATTTCTCATTAAAATATGATGGTCTATTACATCAAAAGCAGCGCTGAAATCCAACATAACCACACCAACTAATTCAGAATTATCCATACTTCTAAGCCATCCATCAGTCATTTGTGTGAGCGCTGTACAGGTGGAATGTGCCTTTCTATATGCATGCTGAAACATAGTCATCAAATTATTATTCTGAAAATAATTACAAATTTGTGTATGAATAATTCTTTCCATAACTTTACTGATTGCAGGCAGAATACTTATAGGCCTACAGTTATGTCCATTATAAGATAATCGATTGTCTTTTATCAATGGAATAATTTTCGATTCCTTCCACAGAGATGGATAAATCCCACTCGCCATACACTGATTAAATATATGACACAAAGGAGCAGCTATATATTCAGCTGTTTTATTCAATACTAGACTGTCCAAATTGTCTGTGCCTGGACTACCATGTGTTGGAAGAGACTTTAACAGGGCCATCACTTCTGCAGTTTGCACACAATTAAAGTTAAAATTACTCTGTTCTGTGATGATCGTTCGTGACTCTCCTGTTCAAACTCGTTCATCAAAAACAAATCATTTTTCGAGTCATGACTCGAAGGGTCCTAGATAAGACCCTTATTCATCGCCTGGTGTCGTTTGAAAAAAAGCCCTTTGAAGCTGCACTGAAACTCTCATTTGGACCTTGAACCGCTTGGTTCCCATTGAGTCCATAAAATCCTGGAACGTTTTCATCAAAAACCTTAATTTCTTTTCAACTGAAGAAAGAAAGACATGAGCATCTTGGATATGACATGGGGGTGAGTAATTTATCAGCAAAAGTTCTGTTAAAAGTGAATCCTTTAACTAAAAACTTGAAAATAGTTTTTGGTTATTGAAATTGAGACACAATAAGATAAAATATAATTATTAAATGAAGAAAACAAATCACTGTTTACCCCATTTTGCATTAGCTCACTGTAAAAACAACAACAACCTTAAGTTCAGTTGATGCCTTTTAAGTTAAAAAGTAATCATCTTGGCTGTATATCTCATTTCAACTTCAATTATATTGAACTGACTTAAAAAGGAATTGAATCTTGTATAATATGTTGTCATGACATACATATATATATATATATTAACCCATTAAAAAAGCTACTAACTAGCGAACAAACTAACTAGCTCCTTTCAGTGACAGGATAATTTAGGCTAAATGTTGGTTGGTTGATTGGTAATATTTTGATATTTGTCATTACAATGGCAGGCCATTTTAGCCTGGCTCCACCCTTCTACGTATACTTCTGCTCAATTTGAAAAAAATTGACTGGAGAAAACCAAAGAATACACCTCAAATCCAGACGTAGTACTGAATGAAATTGAAATGTAGAGTTTGCCCAGCACAATTACTACCATTTCTGAACACAGAGGAATGCCAAAATCCCTAAGCAGCAACAGCAGTTTATTTTTGTAGCAATGTGTTAAATATAAACTGAAAATACACAGTTGCTTGACTTGGAAGAGCAAGATATGTAAGAATGTGTGGTTCAAAGGGAAGACATAGAAAAGGTCAAATGAACAAGTCTCTGTGAATTTTCCGTTAACATGTAACACATTTCTTCAAAAATGTGCTGAATAAATAAAAATGTTTGGTACCACTTTGTGTGTCTTTATCTACTAACATTTATATATATATATATATATACCAATATATACCATTTTGTAGACATGCAATATACTTCTGTTCCAGCAAACAGTTGTGACAATTAAACTTGCAGTTAAGAGATTGTTAAGACTGTTTAAAAAAATGTGCCAAAGCGATTGAGAAAAACCTTAATTATAATGTGCCAGTTCATTTGGCATTGTGCCAGTTGTCAGTGGAATTACACAAATGTTTGGCTGAGCTCCGCTGGAATGCAGCACTCAAATTGGATGGATGGTGGGGTTGGGTGAATGGGTGAGTGGTTGGATGGACGGATGGATGGATGGACGGATGGATGGATGGATGGATGGATGGATGGATGGATGGATGGATATATGGATGGATGGATGGTGGAGTTAGGTGAATGTGTGGGTGGATGGATGGATGGTGGGGTTGGGTGAGTGGATGGATGGATGGATGGTGGGGTTGGGTTAATGGGTGAGTAGGTGGAGGATGGATGGATGGATGTTAGGGTTGGATGGATGGATGGTGGGGTTGGGTGAATGGGTGAGTGGATGGATGGATGGATGGATGGTGGGGTTGGGTGAATGGGTGAGTAGATGGATGGATGGTGGGGTTGGGTGAATGGGTGAGTGGATGGATGGATGGATGGTGGGGTTGGGTGAATGGGTGAGTGGATGGATGGATGGTGGGGTTGGGTGAATGGGTGAGTGGATGGATGGATGGATGGTGGGGTTGGGTGAATGGGTGAGTAGATGGATGGATGGTGGGGTTGGGTGAATGGGTGAGTGGTTGGATGGATGGATGGATGGATGGATGGATGGATGGATGGTGGGGTTGGGTGAATGGGTGAGTGGATGGATGGATGGTGGGGATGGGTTAATGGGTGAGTAGGTGGATGGATGGATGGATGGATGGTGGAGTTAGGTGAATGTGTGGGTGGATGGATGGATGGTGGGGTTGGGTGAATGGATGGATGGTGGGGTTGGGTGAATGGGTGAGTGGATGGATGGATGGATGTTAGGGTTGGTTGGATGGATGGATGGTGGGGTTAGGTGAATGTGTGGGTGGATGGGTGGAAGGTGGGGTTGGGTGAATGGGTGAGTGGATAAATAGATATTAGATAGATAGATAGATAGATAGATAGATAGATAGATAGATAGATAGATAGATAGATAGATAGATAGATAGATAGATAGATAGATAGATAGATAGATAGATAGATAGATAGATTGGGTTTTGTGTATTTATTATTATTCTAATTATTAATTACTCATTTTATTATATTATATTAAATTATGAATAAAACGGTATAAGCTGTCCTGATCTAAATCACTTTTATAAGTTTCTATTGTTCTGTATTTGTTGATTTTCTAGTCTAAAATGTTCTCTCTGTGATAGAGGATGCATCACAGTCTGACAGGGATTCTCTACAAACCATTGACTTCAGGATGTTCAACACAAAACTCTTTGAAGACGCACATAAAAGAGCCCTCAAGCTTTCTGTAAACCCGCCCTGGCACAGAGGGACTGATAAGGTGAACAGAATCCATCCATGTTCAGAAAATCGAATTACAAGCACAATAGTTTGTGGCTCAGTAACCCCTTGGCCGACAAAAGCTTAGGAATAAAGGGTCATATTGGTTCTCTCCTCCCAACATTGTACTGCATCTCACTTATGATCTTATTATGCATATTTTGCATTCTCTGAATATTCTCAGAGATATTTTAACATACTATACACAGTAGTGAAACCATCTCTTCAAATTTAGCACTGCGCAATTCAGAATAGTCCAGTTACTAAGAGAAAGAGACTTTTACAGTGGGAGCGTTTGTTTAGCACGCCATTATTTGAACAAGTGTTTTATCGAAGTAAATGACATTTATTTGCGTCACACTCGGATAAGAGCGCTTTACATCATGTTAAATGCTCAAAACCTGACCAAGTGCATTAATGGTCCTCGATTATTCATCATCAGAGTCCTCAATGAAGTCATGCATCAGGGACGTCTCGTCCCAGGTCTGGAGCATTTAAAACAACCTGGCCTGGTTATTTCTCCATCGTTCTTTGAACTAGATGAGCGCTAGTGTCATGGATGTGACAGCAGCCATATGTGCTAGTAACTGTCGTTGGTGGGTTTCCTGCTATTGATGCTGTCCACGTGCATGTGGCCGTGCTGGGGGAAGTCAGAGCAGAGAGAGAGAGAGAGAGAGAGAGAGAGAGAGAGAGAGAGAGATAGGAGGTAGAGGGGTGGCTAGTGAACAAGTGGCCAGAAAAGAAGGACGCTGTTGTGATATTCTTCTCTGGACGTCTCACTGACAGAAGCGAGTTGTCTTATAACAGTAGGTGGCGCAGACGGTGGATCTTGACCTGGTAAAGGGATTACAAATCTGCAGAAACTCTACACTGACTGCATCGCAAGCCCTCGTGAATAAAGTAAGTGACTTTTTGACTATTATTTTCACTGCATGCACTCTTAGAAGAAAAGGTTCTATAGAGAACCATAAAAGGTTCTATCAGCGCTACGTATTTGGAACCCCTAAAAGGTTCTATACGGAACCCTTTTTAAGGGTTCAACAATAAGAACCCTTTAGGGTTCTTTGGAACCAGGAAAAGGTTCTATATGGAACATTTTGGGTTCATTTATTATCATTTGTTTTGTCCTTTCCGGATTAAATATTTCATATTATTGACAAACATAAAGACCCTAAAATATTTATGAATGTATGTGAATGATCACAAAATTCAAGATATGGGGGTTAGAAAATATATTTATATCATTTTACAATGTAAAAATGATTGTGATTTTACCAGTAAATGACTGTAAAAATGCGACAGTGAAAAACTGTTAATTGGTTAACAGAAAGTTTCCTTACTATATACGGTAAATAACTGTGATATATATAATGGTACATTTAATGTAATTTTACTGTAAAATACTGATAAATATATAGTTTTTGGAAGTAAAAAAGAAGTCATTGTATAATTTACGGTGAAAAAAATGTAAATTGATATTCCCACAATTGCCTGCGTGACACTTGACATTTAATGTATTTTAACTGTTTCTTTGTAATTTTCTTAGTTTTTTTCTAATCAGTTATGTACATTAGGGTTTTATGTTACATTTATTGTTTGTTAAATTGAAACTTATTGCATTTTTTAAATTTCAACATGTTACCATGATGGTGTTTAATGTTTGTGTGAATCACACTGTGCAGCTTCCTTAGTAGTATGAACTTTCTTGTGGAAGAGCTGATGATGATGAGCTTTGATTGATCATTTGACTCTCATTGCGGCTGTGATTGATGGCTGTCAGTGTATTGCAATTGAGCAAAACAGATATTATTACTTCAATAGGTCAGTAAATTAACATTATATTAGATAATGAAATAGAGTTTATTGCTGTAAAATTAAACACGGTTGAAAGTCTGTAAAACCTAAAATTTTGCTACCGTATTTTTAAGAGGAAAACTCTGATAACCACAGCTGCCAGGGTTTTCCCGTAAATTTAACAGATTTTTTTTTTACAGTGTATAGTTGATTAATATCACACAAAGAGTGCCATTTCAGTTTTTCTCCTCCAAAAATCAGCATGCTTAAAATGTGATATTAATAATTTTTCAGAAAATGTTATTATGAAAGTCATTCAGAATTACCTGATAATTGAATGTTAAAGGGTTAGTTCACCCAAAAATGAAAATTCTGTCAGTATTTACTCACCCTCATGTTGTTCCAACCCCGTAAGACCTTCGTTCATCTTCGGAACACAAATTAAGATATTTAGGATATTAAAATCGCTCCTGCATACAGTCCATAGGCTTCTTGAGGGACTGGCTCTTGCCGTCCCCGAAAAGTCATAAAAGACATCGTTAAAATAGTCCAAGTGACTACAGGGGCTCAATCTTAAGTTTATCAAACGACGAGAACACTTTTGTGCGCAAAAAAACAACAAAAATAACGACTTTATTTCAACTATTCACTTCCTTCTCCATAAGCCTATAGTCTGTTAACGTAGTGTGATTGCGTAGAGCTACGTCACACGTAGGCTCACTATTGGTCGACGCTGGTCATGTGTGTGTGATGCGTGTGACGTACAATAACAGAAGCTTACGCTATTAAACTAGTTAGCTGACTCGCGCAGAGGGAGAAATAAACGAATAGTTGAAATAAAGTCGTTATTTTTGTTGTTTTTTTGCGCACAAAAGTGTTCTCGTCGTTTGATAAACTTAAGATTGAGCCCCTGTAGTCACTTGGACTATTTTAACGATGTCTTTTATGACTTTTCGGGGACGGCAAGAGCCAGTCCCTCAAGAAGCCTATGGACTGTATGCAGGAGCGATTTTAATATCTTAAATATCTTAATTCGTTTTCCGAAGATGAACGAAGGTCTTACGGGGTTGGAACAACATGAGGGTGAGTAAATACTGACAGAATTTTCATTTTTGGGTGAACTAACCCTTTAAGTATGTTTTGTTTACCATTGAAATGTTCTATGCAACAGGAGGAAAACATATTGTTGGTTTAACTTTAAAAAAATGAAGTAACATGGTTGCCTTAAAATGTTAAGTTCATTGAAATGGAAATACAAAGTTAATACAAAGAAGGAGACTGATTTAATCATCAGAAACTCAAAATATTATGTTATCTGAACCACATAAATTAAGTTGATTTGACTAAAGAATTACAAATTACAAATCATGAACATATATATATATATATATATATTACAGTGCAGATTATTTATCTTCCCTAAAGACTGTGCTGGTGGACTGTCTACCCCTGTTTATAGTTGAACACACTCTAAAAATGTTGGGTTGTTTCAACCCAAGTTTGGGTCAAAAAACCCATTGGGTCTAAAATGTAATTTAAAAATTGTGTTTGTCCATATTCGACTCAATCATGGGTGGACCAACACTATCTCACGACCAATTCGTACGAATTCGACGCATGATTAAAAAGTGTCTAATTCGTACTAATTCGTACGACCTCACTCGTACTAATTCGTATGATTTGTCTAAACCCACGTGATGGTTAAGTTTAGGGGCGGGGTAAGGGGTAGGTCATTCGTATGAATTCATACGAATTGGCCAATTCGTAAAATATGTACGATTTAGCAAAATCGTATTAATTCGTACGAGTGAGGTCGTATGAATTGTTACGAATTAGCCACTTTTTAATCATTCGTCGAATTCGTACGACTTGGTCGTGAGATCGGGTTGGGGTGGACACAACCCAGCATCTCTTTAAGAGTGTAGCTTGGCTTTGTTTTTGCACCTGTTAGACCAGTAACAAACCAAAGCATCACGAACCAGCATAAACCAGCCTGGAACATCATGGAAATTCATGCTAGCGTATGGTCTTTTCAACAGGGGAAAAGAAATCTGAAGTCTTCTATTGCAGCTTAATTTCACAGATGCACAGAGATTTCAAATAATTGATGAAGCAGCGCAGTCATTCTTCTCTCTGTCTCTCCAAACGAGCCCTTCAATTATCTGGGTGCTTGTGTGCTTGTCTTGTGTTACTCCATTTCTAATATCCTGATAAATTGTTCATGTCATCTTGCAGCTGTGAGTAAATATGGGAAAGGATTATATTGTCCTGGGTCTTTTGGAGAAGATGTAATTTTAGGCAATGACAAATGTTCCTTCATCTATTATGCAGTGAGGAACTCTGAATGGGTCTGCTGTTGAGAATTACAATTATAGGATCAGGCTCAGACTTTCACAGTTGTGTTTGTTATGGTAATTCTGAAATGAAAGCAAAAGTTTATAGCAGTAGTTTAATGACCTCTAATGTGCACTGTGATTATATATCCAAGATTAAGAAAACTTTAAAGTTACATATTTTTCTAAATACATTTATCTCTATATCGAGACAGATATTGCAAACTGTCCATCAAAGTAAAGGCTGCATTTGATTGCACTGCACATGGGATAGTCCAAATATCCAAACCTTTATGCTCTTAAAAGGAGTAGTTCACTTTAAAAAAAAAAAAAAAAAAAAACTTTTGCTGATAATTTACTCACCCCCATGTCATCCAAGATGTCCATGTCTTTCTTTCTTCAGTCGAAAAGAAATTAAGGTTTTTGATGAAAACATTCCAGCATTTTTCTCCATATAATGCAGTTCAGTGGGAACCAAACAGTTCAAGGTCCAAAAGAAACTTTCAGTGCAAACTGCAAACTGTTCAAGGGGCTTTTAACAATTCCAGACGATGAATAAGGGTCTTATCAAGCGAAACGATCGCTCATTTAAAAAAAAATAAATAACAAAGTTTAAGTTTTATAAGCTCAAATGGTCGCCTTGCTCTGTACTGAGCACGGTCGTGACTCCACTGTTCAAACTCGTTCATCAAAATAAACGAATCTTGTTCTGAGTCAATTCGTTCATTTCGCTCGTTGAATGAACCAAATGATACGAAAAAATATTTGTTCATTTTGATAAACGAGTGTCGAACAGGATTGTTATCCGAGTTTGCACTGAAACTGTCTTTTGGACCTTGAACCGTTTGGTTACCAGTGAAATCTCACGGGTAACCAAACGGTCAAAATTAAACTGCGCAACAGTTCTGTGTTGCACATAGGCTCACTATTGGCCAATACTGGTCATATGTGACGCACATCCTAGAAGCTTTGCGCAGTTTCACTACGTGAAATCTCGAGGCCCACAGAAAAGGAAATTAATAGTTGGATAAAGTCTTTATTTTTGTTTGTTTGTTTTTTTTTGCGCACAAAAAAGTATTCTTGTTGCTTGATTAAATTAAGATTGAGCCACTGTAGTCACTCGGACTATTTTAATAACTTTAATAACTTCTGGGGTGGCCAGTTTCCATCCCTTCAGAAGCCAATGGAGGAGTGATTCAAAAATATCTTAATTTGTGTTCTGAAGATGAACAAAAGTCTTACAGGGTTGGAACAACATGAGGGTTTAAATTTTGGGGTGAACTATCCCTTTAAGACACTTCCTGCATATGATTTGTTTACCCAATTTATTTGGATTAATACAGATACCTATATTGAAATATCTACATTTCTGTTTCAAAGATATGGTAGTTGTTGCATAATTTAAATAGCATGGAATATTAAATTTATCTTTACACATCATTATTCATGATATACATTGTCCTTTGGCATATTAATCTAAAATTACTAATATAATGAGATTCTATGGGGGGGCGGGGGGGGGGTAAACCCATTAACTCCATGTCTAACTCCGTGTCTGGGAAAAATATCACAGTTTACTACCTTGGAGAGTTTGTCTCTCTAAAATGGCAATACATAGGTGTAGTCAAAATCAGTTATTATCATGATGTTATGTAGTCCAGTTGGCCTCCCGTGAAGAAAATCTACTCGGACCGTATCTATTCCTATGAAGCAGTTGTACAGCTCGTCTTTTAGCTGTTTAATAATTGTGAGTTTAGCACATGGGTCTGGCAGCTCAGAGTGCTTCAATGCATCTGTTTAAGACATCGCTTTGCATTTTAATAAACTTGTAGACACTCAATCCTTAAGGAGAATCGATTAAAAACTGTTATGAGAGCTGCCATCAAGTGCAAAAGCAGATATTTAACATGATATTTTCATTAAAGGGATGGAATGAGTTATCATCCGAAGCAGACTGACTTTAAATCAGATATTATGAAAAATATTGCTGTTTTAGACCCCAGAGACATTCAGTGTATGCAAAAAAAAAAAAAAAAAAACGATTAAAATTGTGTTCCTCAAGAAGGACAGTCGTACAGGTTTGGAATGAGTAAATGATTTTTGTGGTGGACTACCCATGTAATTGTTCAATTAATTATGTCAATGAAACAGGCGATGCGCACAAAAGATGCCACTTTAGTCTTCGGATATTATTTTCCTTCTCTCTCTCTCTCTCTCTCGATCAGGTGTCAAAGTGGTGGTACATTGGTGGACTAAAAAAATCATGCTTACGGACTGGAGGAGAGCAGACTGCACTGGATCAAACACGTGTAAAGAGCAAAGTGTGCTAAAGAAAAAAAAGAAGCACAGTCCCTAAGGAGAAACTCTTGGTGTTGGTGCAATGGATCACACAAGTCCAGGCAGCCTCCATAGCTGAGAGACTGCCCTGAAAATGGAGGTCTGCATCTCTTTCTGGATGGCATCTACCAAACTTTGAGGCGTGTTAAGCACCGCTCGTCATCAGAATGCAAATGAAGCATGAAGGATCCTCTCTACAAAGTGAACTGGGCACTGACACAAATGAAGTATGTAGCACGATTCAAAGCATCTAAATCAGAGACTTGGCCAGTATGGAAGAGCAGACTACCACTGTGATAACGATTTACGTGAATGGCACTGAGCAGTTCAATGCTTCGTATCAATTCAACCTAACGGATGTGAACGAAAGCATAGACACCTACGAGTTTTACGTCATCGGCCTGTTCCTCTCCTGCCTGTACACCATATTCCTGTTCCCCATCGGCTTCATCGGGAACATCCTCATTTTGGTGGTCAACCTCAACCACAGGGACAAGATGACCATCCCTGATCTGTACTTCGTCAACCTGGCCGTGGCGGACCTCATTCTAGTGGCGGACTCGCTCATCGAGGTCTTCAATCTCAACGAGAAGTACTACGACTATGCCGTCCTCTGTACCTTCATGTCGCTTTTCCTCCAGGTGAACATGTACAGCAGCATCTTCTTCCTGACATGGATGAGTTTCGACCGCTACGTCGCTCTCGCCAGCTCCGTTAGCAGCAGTCCGCTGCGAACTATGCAGCACGCCAAACTCAGCTGCAGCCTCATCTGGATGGCCTCCATCTTGGCGACTCTGCTTCCCTTCACCATCGTGCAGACGCAACACACCGGCGAGGTGCACTTCTGCTTCGCCAACGTCTTCGAGATCCAGTGGCTGGAGGTGACGATTGGATTCCTGGTGCCCTTCTCAATCATTGGCCTGTGCTACTCCCTAATCGTCCGCATCCTCATGCGCGCCCAGAAGCACAAGGGACTGTGGCCTCGCCGGCAGAAGGCCCTGCGCATGATCGTGGTGGTCGTGCTGGTGTTCTTCATTTGCTGGCTGCCCGAGAACGTCTTCATTAGCATCCAGCTGCTCCAGGGCACGGCCGACCCGTCGAAACGCAGCGACGCCACGCTGTGGCACGACTACCCGTTGACCGGGCACATCGTCAACCTGGCTGCGTTCTCCAACAGCTGCCTGAACCCCATCATATACAGCTTCCTCGGGGAGACTTTCAGGGACAAGCTACGGCTCTTCATCAAGCGGAAAGCCAGCTGGTCCGTGGTCTACCGCTTCTGTAATCACACTCTGGACTTGCGCATCCCTGTCAGGGGCGAGTCCGAAGTGTAGCGCGGGTCGAAGCTCCAGAAGTTGTCACCTGCCTTGTCTTGCTTTCCAGAACTTGATCAAGAAGTGACATGTGGGTTGGCGTAACGAACACTGCTTCATGTTTAAGTCAGCTGGGTGAAAGAAGGATTATTACAAGGCACGGATGCAGAGCTTGGCCTTTACAGATCATGGCATGTCAAAAACAAAGACTTTTATTGGACTATAATCTCTGTGAGCCCATTCTAAAGTAACAAATAAAGTCATCGAAGTGCCTGCGACCCATTTCCTGTCGTGAGTCATTGTGAAATATATTCTCCTGTTCATATGTTGACGTGACTGAAACCGATGCAATCAACGACTTGGTCTGTTCTGCTTCAAGACTGAATAAATGCATATTTTGTAGGATTTCGTTTTTATTCCTGGGGGATTCTGAAAATGTGAGAATTTAGACAATTTCAAGTGTGAGCTTTACTTCCAGACACTTTTAGGGGTTCCGTAAACGGTAGTGATGTTTGACAAGGTGAAGTTCATGTGCAAGGTTTACCTGAAAAACATCATTAGGGAGACAATAAAGTAAATACGGCTCTATGCACACATATTTGGTGGATTACTGCTCATTTGGACAAGTGTTAGCGACACTAAACCCAGGTGTCGGGTTTCCCTGAAGTTGGAGTCAGTGGGCAGGTGGTGTGCAGAGCGGGATATAAACACATTATCCAAGACTTCAGATGTGCGGCGTCCAACGCTGCTTTTTAATTTATTTAGAAACAGTAAGACCTGAAATAATTTGGTTTCACTGTTTGTCAAGAATGTGTTAAGTTGATTTGGGTACCACTTGAATATTTTTGTGTACAGAAATGATAACAAGAGTGTCAGTCTTGATAACAGGAAGCTGATGTTCTCCCCTAGAGAGAGCCCTCTCATGCCACGGGCTAAAACAATATATGACCAGAGTTAATCATAAACACAGTGGCAGTCTGAGGGCTCCTTCCCAAGTAAGATAGAACAAAGATAAACAAATAAAAGGAAAATGAGGATTTCAAAAATAATCCCAAGGTTGCTCTCTGGGGGATTTTTATCAGTCCAGTTGAGGAGTGCATCGTTTGATAGTGACGTTTAATCAATACAGCGGTCTGGGTGAAGCATGATGTAATGCATTCGAGCCTGAAAGAGCTGATTTCATGAACGGTTGAATAACCCCATTTTCAAATTGAAGTAATAAAATGATCTCATTTTGTAATGTTTAGGTTTTCACTATTAGAAAGCTGTCTGCAAAACTATAGAAAGGCGAAGCGATATTGATGCATACTTGATTTATTCTCTTCTCAGATGGGAAATACAGTACTGCAGTACAGCACAGTAAAATGGGGTGGTTTTACTTCACAGGTAAATCACTTACTGTTTATTATCTATGGAAAATGTCACAGGGAATTGACTGGCCTGCACAAACAGGTAATCGAGACCAATATAGGGAACATTTTAGTGCCTGTCATATTATGGAAGAGTAGACATCTTTTGTAATTAGACACATTTTGGCCAATAAAAGTGTGTGTTATGTCTCCTGTCTGGAGACAAGCTGCTGTGATTTTGTTTTTATTCTCATTTAATTATAATGAGAATCTCATGAGAATCATGAGACTAATGGGATTATTATTATTATTTTTTAAACATCCAAAGTAACATGCCTGGACTACTTATGGTAATGAATTTTTGTGATTTTTGGTCATGAAAATAATGTCAGTATCTTAAAAACAGAAAGAAAGTACAATTTCTCTCATTTTGATTTTGGGGTGAGATCAGTTTTTAAAAAAATCACTTCTCACTTCTCAGGGTGTCCTGCCATCTTTGCTTTTGAGCCGCAGTTTTGGTCACAGACTATTTTTAGTCAATCATTTAAGCCATATAAAAAAAAAAAATGGATGAAAATTTTGCTTTAAAATATAGCAATGCATTGGCAACTTACTGAAAAAAATAAATAGAAATAAGCTGAAGTACTAAAATAACTTTGCGACTACATGTCAACTAACTCCTTGTGTCAGTAGAATAAGTTGACATGTACATGCAAAGTTACTTATTGTCAGAATATCTGTTGAGGTTCTCTGTAAAAATGAAAATGCTATATCTAAGCAATAAAATTGTGGCAACAGATTACAAGCAATATTAATTAAATTTAACAAATTAGAATTGAGTACTAATTAATCAAATTAATTCCTTAAAAGTTAACCAGCCAAATATAATGTTAAAACATAATCAACACCATCAGAGAACCTTTTCTATTTGTTCATCTGACTGTTATAACTCAGGTATATCAGCCAAACAAAACAAAAGGGTCAAGAGCCCAACTACAACAAACATTGATCACCATAATGGTGACTTAATATGATGGCTTTCTCCTTCAGTGATTCTGCTTGTTAACATCAGGTGTCTTCAATATTGGCAATTTAAAAGAAAGAGTTCTTCATTCATCTTTGACGTCTAGGCTATCTGTTATTCAGATATTTCTGTTTATTTTTTTATTTTTTTGGTGTAAATTTTAGTCATTTTAAATGGTTAAATTTTAAGGAGTTAATTTGATTAATTATTACTCAGTTCTAATTTGTTAAATTTAATTTATAATAATGCTTGTAATCTGTTGTCACGATTTTATTGATTAGATATATCGTATTCATTTTTACAATGCACAGAGCATACAGTCTACTAATATTTTAATGAGAGTTAGTTAAAATGTAGTTGGAAAATTACTACAAGAATGTCTAAAGTGGACTATCAGAATAAAGTTTTATTAAAACTTAAACTAAAAGTATAATGAAAGCTTATATATATATATATATATATATATATATATTAACTATTATATATATATATATATATATATATATATATATACAGTTCATTCAAAATAAAAAATATTGCGAAATAATATAATAGTAAATCATTCTAAAATATCACTGCTCTGGATTTTATGACAACTCTGTTTGTGGATCATTTGGAGAAAGCTGCTTTTTGATAGTAAAATCTATTTGTTGAGACGGTTTAAATGCAATACAACTATTAGTCAAAATAATGAGTGCATGTTTCAGTATATGGAGTGTTAAAGAGATACAGCCTGGCAAAACCCATGAAATGTTTTTCCAGCTGTGACAGTCCAGCCTGGGAAAAATATGTAAGCATTGTTTGAATAACTACTCATGACATCATCATAGTATATAGTGTTATATGGTAAAATATCACAAACAAACAAAAACATTTACATTCAAACATGAACTATAGTGACTTGGGGAAACTTGTGTCTCAGGCAGACCTATAGGGCATGGGTAAGGTTGTGTGCCTCTAACAGAGATGTGAGAATCCATGATGAGAACAGCCTTAGGATGTGAGCATCCCAGTAAGATACAGAAAAGTGAAATAACGACAGACAGGCTCATTAGACAACAGCTCCGAAACCCGGATCCCCACAGTCCATCCCCTGGGAAAGAGCCAAAGCGAGACATGTAGTTAATTTCATATCTGTATAAATACAAATAAATAGACACGGGACGACTCTGAGAAAGACAAAGAGCAAGAGGTGACGGACAGAGACTGTGAGAAGAGTGTGTGTCTGCAGCTGGGACCGGAGTAGGGCTCAGGGTTGAAGGATCTGACGTCATCGCGTCCTATTTGTCTGAGATTTCTCTTTTGATGTGGTAAATGAATCTGTTTATCAAACTCATGCAGTCTTGGTTTTCAATGCTCATATGCTTACTGTCTGTATTCACACAAACATTTGAGAACAAAGAGTTCTTCATATTTGAATTGATCCAAAAAAAATTTGTCGCTTGGAGGAAGAGAATGATACGCTGAAAGCTTATGAAACACAAGACGTACAACACCGAAGCGCGCCTTTTGTCAGGTAATTAAAGTAGTGAGAATTAATGCATATGCTTGGGGAATTTGAGTTTGAATAAAAGATCTGATTCACAATTACATTTGCATATTATAATCTTCTCTAAGAAAAAAAAAACAGGCAATTTAGGTAACATCAAGAGGGTCTATTAGAGGATTGCACAAGTGTCTCAGTTTAGAAGTTAGCTCTTGTAACGCCTCAAAAAAAAATAAAAAAAAAAAATACCAGGAGTAAAAACCAACATAACATATGAGCTAAAGAAGAATATTAAGATACTTAAAAAAATAAAAAAAAAAATAGAAGCGCAAAGTCACCACCAGCCACGAGAGGGCGCCAAAAAACGAGCAAGTTCAGGAAGATAATCGAGTCTGAGAATTTGAAAAAAAAGTTGGCATGTGCAGAGTGATGGCATTTTTTTTTTTTAAATAAAAATAAAATACACAATGTAATGGCACCTCAGAGTTTTAGACGAGTTAAACAGGGTGAAATGTTTGATATTATCCAGTGAAAGCCTACTAAATGTGCAAATTTTCTGCTAAAAGAAAAGTTGCTGCCTTAAAGACAGTACAATCGCAACGTACAATCAGACAGTTTAGTCATTTAACCATAAAAAACAAAACCTAACATATCTCGATTCTTGTAGAATTTAAGTTGGAGAATGATCAAACTTATTTTGATGAGTTTGACAACATATAAACACGGTCATAATAGCTACAAACTTTTTTTTTATCCAGCAGGGTCTGTAAGTTGACAAAGCCAAACACGCCAACCAGGTTATTTTTCAAGTGAAACAAGTGCATTAGACACTGCACACTCCTATGCGAACTATTTAATCATTATACTAGTTTATGCTATTGAGGTCATTGCAGGTTTAATTGTGACTTTAAATATAATTTTTCATTGCCATAAATATGGTGAATTCTATGCATAACATAAATAGCATGAACATCCCTAACCACCAAAATAGAAGAAAATAAGTATTTCTGCTTTGATGGAAAGGCTGTGCAAAAAAAAAACCCGATATGATCCTGCCCTCTTGTGGTGGAAAGACGAGTCTACATGCCACAAATCAGGCAGCTTTCAACTAATAAAACATAACATTAGCACTGTCGTACAAGTCTGCAGTAGCAGTCATAATATAATAAAGCCTCAATCAACCCATTAAAGCACATAAAAAAAAAAAACACAACAGCACAATTTTGAGGTAGAGTAATTTTATTTACAACCCAATGATCAATGAAAAAGATACGTGATAAATATATTACGCATGCAACTAAAGCCACTTCACAATGAGCTCTACAATGGTTAATCTAGACACTCACTTTAAAAACCTGAGTCTGTAAGGAATGCTTTACAAAATGACTCCAATGTACAAATCCATTGCTTTTACTTTGAGTGTTTCTCAATAAAAGTAAAAAATAAAATAAAACGATAATAAAATAAAAATTAGGCCCTCTCTCCTCTGATTCGCCTTGCAAGCTGGATATCCTTGGGCATGATTGTGACTCTCTTGGCATGAATGGCGCACAAGTTAGTGTCCTCAAACAGGCCGACAAGATAGGCCTCACTTGCTTCCTGTAACATGACAAGCTAAAGTTAATACTGGATATAAAGTTTAAGTATAAAGTAAAATGAAAAAGTAATAAGTTGCGCACCTGAAGAGCACCAATGGCTGCACTCTGGAACCTCAGGTCAGTTTTGAAGTCCTGTGCAATCTCCCTGACCAGACGCTGAAATGGCAACTTGCGGATCAGCAACTCTGTTGACTTCTGATAACGACGAATCTCTCTCAGAGCAACAGTTCCAGGCCTAAAGCGAGGAAGAAAAACATTAGTTACCCGTTATAGTAAGTAAACTGCATTAAGGATGCGTGTTCAGTTAAAAAAAAAAAAAAAGCAGCCTCTCTCAGACCCACCTGTATCTGTGGGGCTTCTTGACGCCACCAGTGGAGGGCGCGCTCTTCCTCGCGGCTTTAGTTGCCAGCTGCTTTCTTGGCGCCTTTCCTCCAGTGGATTTACGCGCGGTCTGCTTGGTACGAGCCATTTTCTCTCACAATCTCTAGAATTAAAAACAAAGATTTTTTTAATCCTAAATTCCAGTTTTTTTAAAAAAATGGTAACGGTTACTTAAAATGGCGGCATTATCCGGGTCCTGTGGCTTGCGTTTACCACTTCCGCTCAAGAGCTGCAGCTAACCTGATCTAAAAATGTCTCGTTTTAAATATGTACAACGTTAAGTGCCTAAATATAATATGGGAACCTAAACAAACCAGCTAAAACCGGTGCGAAATTTGTAATGCGTGAACACAGCCAAGCGAGCATCACAGATGCATAGTCGACAGGAGAAGCGGTTGTTGTTAAACAGTCGCCCGGTATATGAGCCTCCATCTGCAGCAGGCACCGGGTACAAAGCAGATTAAACATCAGCCCACTGCGAAACTCGCGTTCATCTAGGAATACACCAAATGCGTAATGTAGAAAGAGCGGGAAAATGTTCATAGGCACGGGGGAAAGTTAATTTAATGCAGCATTGAACAACCGGTTACTCGCGGTTACTCGACCTCTTCAGGAACATCTGAACAAACCATTGTCCAAAATGGCGGGCAAAAAGGTAGATCGACAAACCAGCACATAATTATTAGATATAACGTATACTTCCAAAGCCCGCCAAAACGACGAATTTATCGTGTATAAAACGCCACATAATGTTTAAGTTAACTATGTTCAAGGACAAGAGTGTTTAAAATAAATCCAAACAAACAGATTAGCCAGAAAATTATCCATTAATAAGCACGATAAACTGAAAACCCGATCAACTCTGTACATTTCTTATCGATTTGTTATAAACTAGCAATAGTGGAATAATATGCTTACGATCTAATGTCGACATATCTACCAAATAATTTAAAGTTTACTCACAAAAACCTAGTTGAACAACGATCTATCTCCCACGGTGTGTCTCGTATTTGAAAAAGAGAAGGTTGGACTTCTATTTATATAGATCTGTGGCTTGCCGCGTAGACACGCCCATATATGACGTTTTATTTTCTCATTGGTTCAACCTAAAACAAACTCCCCCTTTCCTCGTTTCGCTTTATTTACCGTACATTGTTTACACTTTTAAATAATTTTGAATATATGTAATTATATATATATAAAAATCATTTTGAGTAAAAGAAATAAAAAAGAATTCCAATAGATAAAACAGGCTACTTATGACGTTTCCAAACCCACATTTAGGGGTTTGTTTACGTATTTTTCTAAACATAAACTTATTTTAATCGCAGCTCAAATTACAGCGAAATAGTCATAAATAATAAAAAAAACAGTTAATATCAAAAGCATCAACACTGCACGCCTAAGAAATATTAATAAATATAAACGCCTACTAGATAAATAATCAGCAATATGGTATTTTGTGTTTTTAATGTATTTCATTGTTTTGTTATATTTCTAAATAATTTTGACGCCACGTTGCAGTCTACATAAACACTTGTTTTGTATTATGGCACTGCTGCTATGCAGCATGGCCATTGTCTCCTATTTGTTTGTCCCGCCAGTTGCTCATATTGGCCTTGCAGCGGCGCGCGAGAGCATGAGTAGACGAGAGGCTCCCCGCGCACGCGCTATTATTGTTTTGACTGAAAATGCCGTCGGTTTCGAAAACGGCGGCGAGCGCTTCTCCTCAAACCGAGAAACCAACCCACTATACGTAAGTAAATAAACATTAAATGGGCTAAAAGACGTTTCTGTGGATGGTGGTGACTATTCGACAATCTACTGTCGGATTTGTTTTTGTAACGCGTGCTGTTTCCTCTCCCTCTGTGCGTTTTAAAATGGAGCTTTTCCTTTTGTAAATTCCTCCGAATGCACGCGCCTCTCAAATCTCAATATTGATCAAATCAACAATCTTATCTCCACCAAACATCGCAGTTATTTCCCTATTAACGCGCCGGTCGCGCTGTGTGTCATTTAAAACTTAAGAAAGTGCTCTACGCTTATTTGCTCAAAGCCTGCTTGTGTGAAAATGCTTGAAGACATGTAAACTGCACAACAGCAAAGCGAGCGAGCCGAGACGCTCGCTAGATGTAGCTAACAGGCTGGTTTGTTAGCTGCATCCGCCTCCTTCCTCGGGCCGTGTTTCTTACTCTACGCACTTTTCCCTCCGTACGCACCGTTGGTTTGAATGGAACGTACGTCGAAGATTCTACGTAACTCTGAACGCTAATCGCGGAGTATTTGGCGTAAGCTTCATGTTGTAGTGGAGAGCCTTGATAAATGGCTTTTTTACGCTATAAAACACACTCCGTTCCCATTTAGCGGTTTATAAGTCACACACACTGAATATGATATGTTTATAGTTTCTGAAAAGGTGGTTTATCATGTAATATATTTCTCAAAGGCTGGTTTTGTTGTGGAATGGTCGCGTATAAAAAACTGCGCAGTGTAACAACAACCACCACAGCTCCAAACTTTGAACGTAGTTTGACATGACTGCTTTGTTTACATCAGTTAGTCGTAGTGTGTGGTGCGGAGGTATGACGCTTTTGACCGTGCCTTTTCATTTTAATTCTAGATATTTGAAGGAGTTCAGGACCGAGCAGTGCCCACTGTTTTTGCAGCACAAATGCACACAGCATAGACCCTTTACCTGTTTCCACTGGCATTTTCTAAACCAGCGAAGACGGAGACCCATACGGAGAAGAGACGGGACTTTTAATTACAGCCCAGATGTGTATTGCACGAAGTATGATGAAACAACAGGAATATGCCCCGATGGAGACGAGTAAGTAATTTGTTTTTATTATTATTCACTGAAGTTGAGAAATCATTTTGCAGTCATATAGTAGTAAAATTGCGCGCCAATGCGCACGTTAAGTCGTGTTTATTTTGCATAATAGACAATGTGACGGTTTGTGCTTTTTGTGTAACAGTTAGCACACGCCCTCTTCATGAAATATGTTGAGCAGATCGTTGTCGTCTTAATTCACTATATGGTTTACTTTATGTTAATGTTTTACTCCCCATCATGTTGCCTAATAACTTTGTCCTGTATAGTTGTCGTTCGCTCAACTCAAAACAACGTGTGTGTGTGTATTTATCTTGAGTTTCACTTCCACTTTTGACTGGTGACTCATCTCTCAGTTCCCAGTTTGCCCTGTGTGTAACTTGAAGTAACTGGAAGTGTTTCTAGCCATCCTTGTGTGTTGAGGGAGCCCAAAGACACGCCCCCTGTTCTCTGGCTTGTGATTGGCTCTCTCGCTGCACGTACTCTTTTTTTGATTGGTTCATTGCTGTTACAGCGTTCAAGATTCCCTCTCTTTATAAAAACTCATGTGTTTACAAAGCACGTTGTTGTCGTTGTTGGGACTGGAGGATATTTCAACTCCGACTTTAACGACTCTCATGTCTAAATTTACTCTAGTCAGTTATATATTTTGTTCTCCCTTCATTTGTTTGAAGTAAAAACATTGAGCACAGAATGATCCCTTGTGGGGAATTATGTTCTATATTTATATATTAGTATTATCGTGGGTTGTTTTAATCTTTGGTTGTGGTTTGTGTTTGTTGGTTTCTTATTTACTTGTTGAAACTGTATTTAAACTTTGCTGAGGTAGTACTACAGTGCAGTTCAAAGGCTCTGTGAATTATGAGATCATAATAACTACAGTATTCAAAATTTGAAGTATGGATCAAAAAAGATAACCAAAGTTGTCCTAAAACGAGACCGGGTGTTGTTAAAAATTCATGTATAACTTTGAAAGGTTTTGATGATCCACTTCAAATGTTGACTACTGTATAATGTCCACGGGACACTACTATTAGCCAGGTGTCATGTGGATTCTTGTCAAGTTTTTTCATGATTAAGTTTGTATTGTAATGGCTTGGAAACTTTGTTTTGATTTTGTGAATGACATGATAGTATTTCTGATCTCACTGTGAGACATCCATGTCAACATTGTGATGGTATAGATTATATCAGTAATTAAACCTAACGTTACTTTTTACTAATTATTTTACACCCTTAGTCATTCTATCAATAAGATGTTTTTATTGGTGTTACACTATATGCAAGAACCATATGGGTTATCTGCCAATATTAGAGACTTAAAGGAGTAGTTCACTCCAGAATTACAATTTCCTGATAATTTACTCACCCTCATATCATACAAGATATTCATGTCTTTCTTACTTAAGTCGAAAAGAAATTAAAGATTTTGAGTAAAACATTCCAGTGGATTTCAATGGAAACCAATGGTTTGAAGACCCAAATTGCAGTTTCAATGAAGCTTCAAAGGGCTCTACACAATCCCAGCCGGGGAATAGCGAAACGATTGGTCATTTTCAAACCATAAATGCTTGTCTTGCACTAGCTCTGTGATGCGCCATGCGTTATGTAACCACGTTGAAAGGTCACGGAAGGTGGCGGAAGTACAGTCCTAGTGTTTACGAAGGGAACTTGCAAAGACTAAGTCAAATGCCCTTTTTTTAAAAAAGGGAGTTTTTTTTACCCTCCCTACCCTACCTTCCTCATACGCTAGATAAGACCCTTATTCCTCGACTGGGATCGTGTAGAGCCATTTGAAGCTGCATGAAACGGCAATTTGGACCTTCAATCCCGTTGGGTTTTTGAAAGGGCAGTAAAAAAAAAAAAAAACAACACATGAATTATTTTTTTTTAAATCTGATTCAAACCATATTTTGAGATGGTTTGAAATGTGATTCCAATCAGATTTTTACAGATGTGTCTCAGTCTGGACACTGGACACTCTCAAATCATATTTAAAATTGTTTTTTAATGCGACACACAATGATAACCATGACCGAATGATAAGGGTCCCTCCCTATGCAGTGTTCTCTGCTCCCTACTCCTGAGCACGGGATTGAAGTGTACACATTAATCTGACAATAATCTGAAATCTGTCATCAGATTGTGATTTAACATATATAAATATTGTAATTTATTTTACTTTCACATTTAAAATGCATAGAACATATATAAAAACACAAGTAATAAATGTAATCAAAATTAATAATAACATTTTAATTTAATTTAATTTAATGTCCATTTTTTTTCTGCATCCGTTTTGAAGACCTTGTTACATATGTGTGTGTGCCTACGTTGTCACCAAAGAAACCCACACAGACAGGTTGGTTATGTCGACACACAAATCTTATTTGATCACTTACAATTAATAGTGCAGACAGTCTGCCCGAAAAGATGGGATTTGCCCGCAGTTTGAACATAGCCGAAGCTTAATAGAGGAGCCACAGCGTTTATAGGAATTCAAATTTAGTATTTATTAATATATTTCATAACAATGTTGTGATGCCTACATCATTTACATTACAACATTTATTTGATATTTACAACCATTTAGGTGTTTATTTTAGTAATTTTTGTGTTTTTTTATTTTTAGGACAATATTTTTTGTTTGTTTTGTCCATTTACTAGTTATCCACCATAACATGCAAATAATGATAGACACCAGTGCTAGTGTGCAAGCATTTCATTTCATTTAATGTATTTTTTTCTATTTACACCTGAACTGAAGGTAATTGGATTATTATTATTGTTTGTCTTATGACACACTTTTTGCTCTGACTGACTGGCTCAAATTAAGCTCTAATGTAAATGGTTAAATACTTACAAAAAATATAAATGTTTTCCCTTGTCTCTGCCAAATTGAAATGGATGTCACATAGTTTGTGTATGCATAGATCTCACATTCATTCATCCAGTAGCAGCAGTCCTATGGTGACATCATTGCTGTTGCCATAGTTACTGTTGCTACCTGAACAAGATGCAGTTGCTATATTTGAGGAGATTATTGAGTATGTAACATTTTCAGGATAAAGCTGCTCTCCTTCAGGCTGCTGTTTGGATTACCACAGCCCCATTTTCTGTGTGCCTTAAATCCTGTCTTAAAAATTAATTGCAGATTTCTTATAAATATCTGCATCTCCTAATCTGATCATTTGCTTTGTGTTGTCATGTATCAGTAGTATGCATTACTCCTTTTGTACAGTTTGTCAATTTGAATGCATTTTAAAACTAAACCGCACCTGTGAACAGCACCAAGAATAAACATACATTTCATAATTGCATGTAATATAATGTAAATCCACTGTACTTCAACATATCTTGCAAAACAACTTCCAGCTGGGAAGTATTAGTATTTCACAAGTGTTTGACTGTTTTAAAGTTGTGAAAGAGGTTTGCTGTGACAATGGTGCTTGTTGCTCGTCTTGTCTCTTTATTTTGCATGGTACATATTACACACACACACACACACACACACACACACACACATATATATATATATATATATATATATATTTAAGTGACAAAAATATATATATTTGTTGATGAATTAAAAAAGATAATTTGAACAGGCCTAGTTATAATTATTGATAATATAGTCGCAGTAATTATTTTAAAACAGTGTGCATATCTTCCCAAGTGGAAGCAAGCCGTAATTTAACTACACATTTTAACAGCGACATCAAATGTACTTCCTTTAGTCTAATCAAACTCATTTTGCCTCTGGAAATAGTAGATTTTGTACTATTTATAGTGTTTGCAATTGCAGCGCTGGGAATAAAAGGAGTTCTTGCATCCCACCCTGTCATAGCAATGAAAATGTTTTGTTGTCTGTCTGTGTTTGGTGACACTTTAGTTTCAGGTCCAGTACTCACTATAGTACTCACTATGAGCAGTTCAATTTAAAAAAAAAAAAAAAAACTTTTGCTGATAATTTACTCACCCCCATGTCATCCAAGATGTCCATGTCTTTCTTTCTTTAGTCGAAAAGAAATTAAGGTTTTTGATGAAAACATTCCAGGATTTTTCTCAATATAATGGACTTTACTGGGAACCAAATGGTTCAAGGTCCAAAAGACAGTTTCAGTGCAAACTGCAAGCTGTTCAAAGGGCTTTAAACGATTCCAGACGAAGAATAAGGGTCTTATCAAGCGAAACGATCACTCATTTAAAAAAATATATAACAAAGTTTAAGGTTTATAAGCTCAAATGCTCGCCTTGCTCTGTTCTGTGATGCACGTTCGTGACTCTCCTGTTCGAACTCGTTCATCAAAATGAACAAATCTTGATAAATAACCGCGATCCCTTATTCATTGTCTGGAATCGTTTGAAGCCGATTCTATTTTGTTATCTTTTTAGATTACTTATTATTGTTTATTGTATAAGCATTTGTACTGATGAGCTGGTGTTTTTCTCCTCAGTTGCCCATACTTACACCGGACCACCGGTGACACAGAGCGCAAGTACCATTTACGCTACTATAAGACCGGCACCTGCATCCATGAGACAGATGCCCGTGGACATTGTGTGAAGAACGGCCTCCACTGCGCCTTCGCTCATGGACCACATGACCTGCGGCCACCCGTTTATGATATCAGGTATCATTTTTTCCCTTTGTGTCCTTAGCAAAGGTGCATAAAGGTGCATTTTCGTCTCTCTGAGACGCGAGTCATTTATGATGGAGCCACTGTGGCGTCAATTTAGTTCTCTGTTCTATATTTTATGCGATATTCCAGTTTTGTGCATAAGTTAAATTTGCAACTCTGTGCATGTGACCAATAGCGTGAATCTGATTGGTCTGCCAGTGTTATTCGTAGTGCGATGGGAAAGTGATCAGTCTAAATAGACTCATTAACAGCCGTTCATTCAAATTACAATGTTTATTGCACCAAATTTCCACACCGAACATTCGTCTTGGGCTGAACAGAGAACCTTTAGAGAATGAGGAATCATCACACTGAAGGGCAGGAGGAAGTTCTCTATCTTGTGGCACTCAAATTCCTGTTTTTCATAGGCGGGAGGATTCCCAACCCCCAACTAAAGTAAAAGCTGTGAATCCCCAAATAACAGCACAGTTTGCACTAGACATTGTTTTGTTATGACAATTGCTTTCAGTTGCTAAAAGCTGTCGGTGGCTGCACACATTTTCAGTTGATTAGCAGGTCATTTGCATATGTATTCAATGCATGAGCGAGCAGTCAGAGTGCTTATTAGTGTGCTTAATCTAATTTGCAAAAATGTACCTCATTCGTTGTTTTGCAAATTACATTAATTACACTTGCATTGCCATGCAGTCTGCGCAGCATAGCCACAAATGGTTAGATACTGGCCTGGAAATGTGGCTTACCAGTGATTGAATAACAAGAAATATGCCATCTCAGCAGTTGCCTAGCAACGAGTTTGTGGAAATAACTGTGGCATCAAGACCAATCTTTGAGGGATTTGTTTTTTGGTGTTGTGTCTGAATGGGTGGGCTGACTTTTATAATCATGTTCACAGAGAGATCCAGGCACAGGAAGCTCTGCAGAACGGCCAGTTGGGATCCGGGGAGGGAATTCCTGACCTGCAGCCGGGTGTGCTGGCCAGCCAGGCCATGATTGAGAAGACCTTAAATGAGGACCCACGCTGGCAAGGTGACGCAAAACGTGCCCACATTAATGCAAGCCCAGTATGAAAAATAAGTAAAAAAAACTCATCTTGGTGGGAATGGTTACAGATTTCAGTGGCAGTGGGTACAAAATGGCACTGTATTTAATCAGGTCACTCGTATTCAGTTTCTGTTCCCCTTTTTTGCAGACACCAATTTTGTTTTGGCCAATTATAAAACTGAGCAGTGCACCAAGCCTCCACGTCTATGCAGGCAAGGCTATGCCTGTCCACACTATCACAACAGCAGAGATAGAAGAAGAAACCCCAGAAAGTTCAAATACAGGTGAGATATTGCAAAGACACTGCAAAAGCAAAATATTCTCAAACAAAACAGAAGTCGACACACTGTGGCACCTAAAACACATCAGAGAGTAGAAGTGACACTATTAAGGAATATTTGCTTTTGTAGCTTTATTTTTTTCTGTTTAAGTAATATATGAAGAGTTCAGATGCAAAAGCCTCTAAACGCCATTTGAAATTTTCTTCTTTAATGATGATTTTTTATCAAACTTGTATATTTAAGTTCAGTAATTTCCCTTAAATAACAATTAATAGGTAATTATCATTGCCATTTAACTGAAATCACTGAACTTAAATATACAAGTTTGTTAAAAATTATCATTCTAGAAGAAAATTTCAAATGGCACTTAGAGGCTTTTGCATCTGAACTCTTCATATATATATATAGATATAGATATAGATGGGGTGGTGATGCATTGCGCAGTGGATAAGACGCATGCCTTTGGTGTGAGAGACCCCCGTTCGAATATGAATATATATATTGCATGTGTCTGTGAGGCAAGAATAAGCTGAATTTAGGTTAATTTAGGCCCCGTCCACACTACTGTGTTTAAAACGGAGACCTTTTGCTACGTTTGCACCTCCCTATCCAGACTAAAATAGAAAAACGAAGACCTAAAACCCATCAAGTAGCTAACGTTACTTTCTTCTTCATCAAATCTGAGGAATAGTCAATCCGTTTCCGGTTTACACCGGCATGCACATGCCCAGTGTTGGTGAATGGTCACGTGATCTGCGTTTCAGTCGTTTTAATGTGGACGGAGATCAATTCTAACACGCAGACAAAACACTGGTGTGGACGGAGATCGTATTCGTTTTAATTCTCCGTTTTTAAAAGAAAACGCGGTAGTCTGGACGGGACCTTAGACACACTCCAGTTGACGGAGAAAGCGCATCATGTTTGTTTTCTTTATTTTACAAATGCACAATGTTTTTTTTTTTATTGTGAGTTTACACAAATAAAAGTAGACCCATTTAGAACGATGTATTACTCTTATCTGTATGACCAAAAATGACAGTATTTTAGGCAGTTTCTGCTGTTGTCAGGAAAAATGCAAGTGATCGTGCTGGCGCCTCCATGAAAGCGCGCTAATACTTTAGCTTCCACACTCCACACAAACACTTGGATATGGACCTAAACCTATTATTATCTATTTATTTAGGTTAACTTTAGAGCAAGCATCCATGTAAAGTTGTTTCAAATGATAAGCCATATTTGAGGTCAATGGCGAAGGTTTGGATTTCCTGCACAACATACTGTAATTACCAGAAATTTCTTTCTATTTTTCAGCGACTAACCTATTTATACAATTTTGGCTGATTAAGCCTCCTCTAGTCCACTAATGTGGAGTCGAGTATTAGGGGGCAGCTCTACAGGGCACACTTCACTGTGACCAAACATTATGTTAGAGTAGTGATATGTATAGTAGTTTGCCTGGTATATAAAGAGGAGAACTTTACTACGACTAGTCTATTTAAAAACTTGTAATTTTGGTTACAGGAAGAAAACATTTTTTTGTCTATCACTATTTTTGATTAACATAACACTCAATCTTAGTTGAATTCAACATAAAACTGAATCCCTCTTTGCAGGTCGACGCCCTGCCCGAGTGTAAAGCACGGCGATGAATGGGGCGAACCCTCCAAGTGTGAGAGTGGGGACAGCTGTCAGTACTGCCACTCTCGCACCGAACAGCAGTTCCACCCTGAGGTGAGACCGACACACCTATACAACATTGAACTTGACTGATTGACTTGAGTTTATTTGATTTACATTATTTTCTTTATCTCACCAACTTCTGTGTTTCTCTGTTTCAAGATTTATAAATCTACGAAATGCAACGACATGAGGCAAACTGGATACTGTCCAAGGGGACCATTCTGTGCTTTCGCACATGTGGAAAGTAAGCATGATTATAAAAATGACTGTTTGCAATGTGTTGTAGTCATTAAAGAGTAACTAAACACTAAACCAACTTTTTTTAGTTAATGATCTGTAAGAATGGATCTTTATTAATACCAGTCATTGATTTGAGTAACTTTTTTGACATTTGTTTATAAAGTGTTCTATTTATACGTATGGTGTAAAAACGTCGTAGTGCTGCCCTCTTCAGGTTGAACGGTGGCTACTGCAGTTGAATTTTCCTATTGGATCTTCCGCACTTCGTGACGTACGCAGGTTTCAGCTCACCACGCGAGCTACGCCCATGGCAGTATAAAAACCATCTTGTGTCGTCAAAACCACTGTAGGGAGTCAGGAATTGGAATCGAGAGTATTGAAAACGACCGGGATAGAGTGTTTTAGCATCTATTTCGTCCCCTCGATCTCCGCTGGGGTCTGCCCACTTTTTCAGCATTTTCAAATATTGCCAGTGGGTGGAGTCAGGCTCTGACCAGGGGTTTAGTTACCCTTTAAACACCTGAAAAGCAGTGATTTCATTTAGTTCAGTCATGGTTGCAACTGCAAGATTGCAGTAGTGAAATTAAATAGCTTAGTGACGTGTGATTTATCAAATCGCATAGACTGTGATTTAATTAAATAATTAGGTAAAAGTGTCCTTGTTACATGTACTTGCTCTGGTAATAACAGTAAATTATGCATAATGACATGCAGCTAACTGTAAACAATAAGCTAATCTCATCCCTTACCATATAGTAAATGCTTGTTGTTGGTAATTATTACTCAGTATAATTACACTATAACAAGGACACCTTAAAATAACGTGTGCTGCATGTTTCAGGGCCATGCCAACATGCCAACAGCTCACGATCCAGTGTTTTCTTTGTCTCGGAGCGCCTCGGTTTGCATCATGCAATTGGGAACGTGAAATGCGCCAACCAAACTTGTAATGATAAGCGCTGATGAACCAGCTGTTGGGGTTTTGCACATACATATAACCTTGGTGGTTTAATCTTTGAAAATTAAGAAATTAAGCCATAATTATTAGCATTGTCATTTTGCGGAATGTAAAATAAAAATGATTAATATTATTATATTTTTCTTAAACTCTTCTTTTATTCTAAAGGGAAATATTAAAATAGTAATATTTACATTTTTTTTTATAGGAATATTGGTATGTAAACAAGTATGCAAACCAAAAACAACTTTTTTTTTTTTTTCAAATTCCATTTTAAATCACAATCGATGTTTTTATCAGAAAAATCATTTTATTTTATTTATTTTTTATTGTGCTTCCCTAAGTTGATGACTCAAAGCAAAATGTGTGTGTGTGTGTCTGAAGGAATTCCTTCCACAGAGGAGACCATGAGCACGTTTCTCACGGCAATGCAGTCGGGTTCTCAGTCCAAGCTCGGCTCCCAGCAATATCCAGAGTGTCCAATCAGCGAGTGGAGCGCCAACATGAATTCCCTCACCAGCAGCGCGAGTAACAACGGACAGACCGGAAACGTATGTTTGCACACCTGTCTTGCATCTGTGGTAGAGAAAAGGTCCTTAACTTAGGAAGAAGTTGATTTTTTTTGTTGTTAGAGCTACTGTTTTTCTTTTTCATTTCCTCAGTGTTTCATTTTGTTTTCTTTGCATCCATTTCTACTTATTGCAGTCTGTGTTGGAAAGCGAGAATACCTCAAATTCAAATCAGAGCTTTCTATTTAAATGCATTACACCAAAAATTAGACCTGATTGAGCTACTCTTCTATTATTGTGAGCGAAATCCTCTCACATCTGCATCCACCTATTTGGCTGGCTCCAAAACCACATTTTTTTTAAGCTCATTTGTGCTTTTCTCCTTTAGGTATCATGCTCTAATAGTCCGACTGTAACACCAAGCTCAGGGAGCCACAGTTCTTTGTCCCCAATTGGACCCATCGGCAGGCCAAAATGCTTTACTAATGGTAGCTTATGTTCAGAGTCCACCACATCCAGTGTTTCCTCTCCGACGTCTAACTATCCCAAAGCTCCGGGTTTTGAACGGGAGGATCAGGTACACATGACCGTTTTCTCTAGCCCTTTCTAAAGGGATCTCCTGCAAGATTGCAGGCATGACACACACTGCAAGCTTCACTTTGATTTATTTGCCCCTGGGTCATTTTCATTTCACCACTTTTCTCTTTTGTGTCTTTTAGTGATCTGTTGTCAATTGAAAGTCACTTGTCTTTAGTTGTCAATATTCATTTGTTGTTGTTGAAACTTTCACGTCAGTCTTTGAGATTGAGGGTGTGGTATCATTGTGTGCAAAGGTATTAACACTTTGACTTTGAAATGCCACATGAACTTATCATTCATGTTCTGATGTCTAAAATAATCATTTAAATGCTGTAATAATCCGAGAACGACACCCAGAGGCCACATAATCATGTTGTGGTGGTCATCATAAAAATATCAAAATGAAGCACGTTGTAAAGGTATACTGTAATGAACATCTTTAAACCACAGAAGGGCGTTTCACTTTTCTTTTCTTTTCTTTTTTTTTTTCTGAGCAGGTAGCAATTCCTTACATAATACCTGGTTGCCTTGACAACATCAGGTCACATGATAGGATGTATTATCTGATTTCAGGCAAAGAACCAGAAGAGCCAGTCTGGGGAACATAATCAAAAGTTAATGGACCAAGACAAACAGGTAAAGCAACGAAGTCCTCATATTCGCTCATTTTACAACCTTGCAAGGAAAGACATAAAGTGGTTAGAGCAGTGGATTAGGTTATCATCTATGTTTTCATCCTCATTTACAAGAAACCATATAGCATTACATATCATCTGACATAAAAAAAAAACATACAAATATAAAAGTTTTTTTATGACAATGTTTAAAACATTATCACTAACTAAAACTTAAATCATTTTAGATAATTGAAATAAATCTGAAATAAAATAAACTCTAAATATTAGATGAAAAGCTTAAAAAAACGTTAACGGAAATTAGAAATGTTGTTGGCAATAAACTGAAATAAACTATTGTGAGTTATAAAACTACTAAAACAGAAATATAAATAAAATAAATGGAAGCTAAATTGACTAATATATATAACTAAAGCTAGATAATACTAAACTTACACTTTTTACAGTGTAATTATACTTTTAAATACTGAGGAAAATTAACTATTTGTACTTTCTACATAATTTGGGGTTGTTTTAGGGTTAGTTGCTAGTAATTATGCATCATATACTATTATTACTATTGTAAGTACATGCAAGATGTGTAACCGGGACACTGTAAAAAAAAACGTTCTCAAATGTTAAAACCTGAAAGTTAAAAATAAATAGACAAAAATAGGTAAAATGGTAAATAAAAACAAAACAAAACTCATTAAAGGTACAATATGTAAGATTTTTGTAATAAAATATCCAAAAATCACTTGCAAAGTGTGAAATATTTTCCTGCATATAATATCCCAAAATTTCCAAAAGATTTTTACTTTCAGAGAAATTCGAATTTTTAAATAATGGCTCGTCCCTTATCATTGTCGCCTGACGTGATATCCGGGTTATCCCTGGTTAACCATGACGACAGACGTGGACAACTGCGTTACGTCTAGCGGCACACTCACGCTGATGTTGTTTCGTTCAAACATTATGTACAAGCAGACTTTGGGACAAAACAAGAACTAAAACGAGGATCTCGTTTTTCGAGATGCTGAGAGCTCCACGTCCGCAACTAACTTCGACTTGCTTCTCGAGTCACGACTTGGATGCCACTCTTGCATGTACTTTATTAGACAGGTGAGCAAATGTATATAAAACTAATCAATGTTATAAAGCTCAACATGATGAAATGTCAGAATATGAATAGTATGTTCTTCTAATGTTGATCTAGCTTACTGCTAGTTAAGCCAATACACTAACACATAGAATAACAGTATAACTTTCAACACGCTCAAATGCAGTTTAGTGTGATGGTGTAGATACTGTCCTGAACAATTAAAAAAAAAAGCCTTATGTCAAGTAGTTTCTTTTGGATTTTTTTTTTAAATTATACTTGAAAAGTTTTTCAAAATCTTATTAAACCAACATGAATACAAAAAGTACATTTCCAAGAACTTGCCACTTGTGTTTTAAACTAGATTTTTCCTACTCTTCATCGTGGACCGTCTTATTTGAAATTGACCCATGTCGCCACAGATTTTTTTAACTTCTGTTATTTCTTTTAAAGGTACAGTGTCCATTAATAAATCAATGAGGAATTTATATAGCCGCTTTCATATACTACTGTACACACAATGTGCTGTACAATCATATCAGGGGATCTCACCTCAACCTCTCTCCTAAACATTAATGAATATTCATAGATGTAAATGTTCCCAAATTAGCCAGATGTTATTAGACCTAAAAAGTAGAGAAAAGAAAAGAAAAACAACAATAAGAGTAATACAACCCGAAATTGTAAACAACTTTGTAAAATACAATTAAACAACATAATATACAAAAAGACAAAGGAATTTTTTAAAGGGAAAGTGTCATGGTTGATTTATGAAGAAGCCATTTCTTAGAATTATACTATTGCTTTTTAAAAATGATTATATTGCTTCCTTTCACAGGCTCATGGTGGCGTTTTCTCAGTGGTGAACCCTCTAGCGTCCAGCATAACATCAAGCATCACATCCAGCTTGGCCTCCAGTATCGGATCTGACAGTTCGTCACCCACCACATTGTCAACCATGAATGCAAAAGCCACGCCTTTCTATCCAGGCAGCAATACTGTGGAGTCGGTAATAGGTAAGGTCCATTGCAGCACTCTTTCGTCTTAGAGCCGTCTAGCCAAGTGCTATATCCAAGAGGAAAAGTACACGAGACAGACTCAGCCCAGATAAGGCAGTGCAGATAAATGCAGAGTGTTTAGTGAAGTCGGAAGTGTATTTGTGGCAATGCATCAGCCATAATTCAGTGAGTCCACTAAAGATCACTAGTAGAAGCAGCAATGACTCAGCAGCACAGAGCTCAGTGGATGGTAAGTGCTTTTGCCTTTTCTTTGAGCTAATTCAAAGTTGCCCGAACACAGCTTTTGATGTATGTTATTACTCACTGTGATTGGATATGAGCTGAAATGAATCGTATTGCGGGATGGATAACTAAATTATCATGCCTTTTATCACTTTTTTTTTCTATTTTAGAAAACATATTAAAACGTCAATAATAGCCTCATGCGATATTGTGTCCAAGTAGCTGCTTTTTTATATCCACTTTGCAAAAATATTGAATCGCACCACTTTCCTTGCTCTTAGGATCTGCACTTGACCTAAATTTTAGTGACATCAATGTTGCCTCCCTCGACAAAGAGCTAGAGGACCAAGACAACAATGGCCTTGGTTTAACAAGTAAGACTTTATTGTTGTTGCTAGTTTCAGCTTGTTCTGGGTATATGATGCAGTTAATATTTAAACACTTGTTTTCACCATAGGTCAGAGGTTATTGGGAGGCTCTGCTCCTGTTAATATTCCTGGCTCTCTGGCTCGGTCTTCCTCTCTGCATTCCTCGTCGTCTCTGTCTGCCTCCCCGCTCAGCTCGCTGTCTCAATCCCTGTCCCAGTCTCTCCTCACTGGAATGGCGTCCCAGCAGAGCCAGCAACAGGCACCACCTGTAAAACCTGAACACGGCCTTCTAGGAACACCAACGTCTACACAGAACTCCTTAGGTAAGGACTGTACGGTTTGGAGATTGTCACATTCAGGATAAAAATGGACAGAAACTACTACAGAAGATTATTAGCTGAATAATGAATGAATCTGCCATAAAGAGATACAATTACTGCCATACAGTAATTCAATCTTAGGCTCCAAAATGTTATATCAGCTATGCATTCCATTTAATTTTGTGAGTTGGTAAGTTTCGTTGGGGCGTGAAGAAATGTAGAGCTGAGTGTCATCAGCATAACAGTGAAATCGAATGATAGGGTAGCATGTACAGAGTTAACAGCAATGGTCCTAGTACTGAGCCTTGTGGTACTCCATACTTAACTTGTGATCGATAAGACATCTGTTTACTGCTGCAAACTGATAACGGGTCAGATAAGTATGATTTGAACCATGCTAGTGCAATTCCACTAATGCCAATATCATTTCCGAGTCTATTTAAAGAATGTTGTGGTCCTTAGTATCAAATGCAACACTAAGATCGAGTAACACTAATAGAGAGATACAACCACGATCGGATGATAAGAGCAAATCATTTGTGACTCTAATGAGAGCATTCTCAGTACTATGGTGGTCTAAATCCTGACTGGAAATTCTCACAGATACCATTTCTTTCTAAAAATGAACATAGTTGTGAGGATACTCCCTTTTCTATTAATTTTGACAGAAAAGGCAGATTCAAGATCGGCCTGTAATTGTCTAATTCAGTAGGATCAAGTTGCGTTTTTTTAATCATAGTTTAATCATAGCCAGCTTAAACGTTTTTCTTTGGTACATATCCTTATGACAGAGATGAATTAAGGATATTGAGAAGAGGATCTATGACCTCTGGAAGCATCTCATTCCATATCTTAGTCGGTATAGGGTCTAACATACATGTTGTCGATTTAGATGATTTAGCGAGTTTAGAAAATTATTCCTCTCCCTATAGTAATGAATCAATTTTTTCGCATCACTGTCTGATGCGATACTGTTGTAGATGCTTGCAGAGTTATAATTTTCTCCCTGATATAATCAATCTTGTAAGTAAAGAAGTTCATAAAGTCATTACTGCTGTGCTGCTTTGAAATATCTGGGGTTGAGGCTTTATTTTTCGTTATTTTTCCCAAAAATGAAAATTAAGTGATTAATTACTCACCCCCATGCTGTACCAACCCCATAAGACCTTTGTTCGTCTTCGGAACACAAATGAAGATATTTTTGATTAAATTTGAGAGGTGGATCACTGCTACATAGGCTGCCTAATGCGTACACCAAAAGATAATCGGGCTGATTTAGGGCCGATTTTCCCCCCTTCCGACAATCCTAGCTTTGTCCCGATTATCTTCATGGTTCTACATATTATCTTATCAGATTCCCCTTGGTGTGAGGTGTGTTAAGAGTGTCCGAAGCTGCTCTGAAGAACGTCGGAGCCGCTCCGATCGCGAATCGTAAATATCCAACATGTTGAATATTTACGATCAGAAATCCTGATGTGTGGGGGGAACCCCAAGGACAAATGCATGTGCGCTCGGGAGATTATCACATGAAACGAAACAATATCCCATCAGAAAGCGAGATGATGGAAGTCGGAAGCATAACAAACAGGGAGCACAACGTGAAACTGATGTGGACAGTGGTTATGGAGGATCAGCTTGTTGATTTGTGGCTCAGAAAATGTATTAGCTCAGTTTAAAAACCATTCCATATTAGGATATGTGTACCAGTACACATGATGTGTGTGTGAGTGAGAGAGAGATTGTTTTATTATCGGTGTATTGAACATTTCTATAACAAAATAAATTCTATAGTTAGAATTCTTTTAGCAAAACTATGGTTAATTTGTCGTTATCATGGTTTAACTACAATATCCATGTTTTATTTTTTATTTGTAGTAAAACCATTTTAAATTTTCGTAAGGGGAGAGAGACAGGGCCAGCGTATGCATTACTAGAACCTTTATCTGAGAAGTTTACATAATTCCCGCCATCTCCACGACTTCACCCAAACCCTTTTTTTTTCTCGTGAATTTTCTGTGAAAATCATTCCAAAAACTGTCATCCCAATTTTTTTCCTGCATAACCTTCGCCATGCTTATTCTGAAGTCTCGCGAGATTTCGAGAGATTTCTTGTGTTCACAGTCGAGACTCTGGTTGAAAATCTGTTAGTGTGTGGTGTGCTGTCTTTGTCACACCATGGCACACCACACACTATAGGAGCAAAACGCTTAAATCAAGGATTTTCTGTCCACATATGTGTGGTCTATCACATTTAGAAAATCTTATAAGATGTAAAAAAAAAAATCTTTTGTTGTGTACCCAGTAAAAGGCTATTATTTTCCTAAACTTTCTCATGAATATTTGAGCTGATGTAATAATGTGTTGGCCTAGGTCTGAATGGCGGAACAGGGAGTATATGGGACTTCATGAGTGGCAGCTTCTCTCCCAGCCCATCTCCAGTGTTCAGCAGCCTTACTTCCAGCACGGTCGGCTCCAGCAGCGCTGACATCGGCCGGCTCCTTCGAGAACTGGATGAAGCCAAGCGCAAGATAAAGCAATGGGAGGATGCCTGGCACCAAGTCAAACAGGTAAGATGTGCTTGCTTTTTTTGCGGGCCTTATGAGATGGGTGACGCTTAAAACAAACTTGTCTAGCAGCCATTTAGATTCTCCTGTAGGTTGTCTCTGAGATTCTTCATGTCTAGTTTTATTGTAGAAAATAAAGTCTGACACTGCTTTACTTTGCTTATTGATGCTCATTGTCGTCCAGTGTCACCTCAATCTATTGAGTGCTGCAGTGATGATGTGTTTTTGTAGGCCCTGGTTCCCTCAATAAAAACCGGAAAAACAGGATTTTCCATTGGCTTGATTATTACAGAAAAAAAGTTTAACAAAAGTGTATGACTCTTATCTGCTTCGTTCATCACGATAATCTTCACAAATGGGCACCACTTTTATGAATTTTGAAGCCTAAATACAATAGGCGGAAGTTAAAAGCTGAAATGTAGACTATAAACAAAATACTCACATGGCTTCAACATCACCGCCATTAAAGGGTTAGTTCACTCGAAAATGAAAATGATCCCATAATTTACTCGCCCTCGAGCCATCCTAGGTGTATATGAGTTTCATCTTTAAGACAAACACAATCAGTGTTTGAATGGTAACTTGAGATTTTGAAGCCCAAAAAAAGCGCATCCATCCATCCATCTTCTTCCGCTCATCTGGGGCCGGGTCACGCGGGCAGCAGTTTAAGCAGAGATGCCCAGACTTCCCTCTCCCTAGACACTTCCTCCAGCTCTTCTGGGGGGACACTGAGGCGTTCCCAGGCCAGCTGGGAGACATAGTCTCTCCAGCGTGTCCTAGGTCTTCCCTGGGGCCTCCACCCAGTGGTACGTGTCCGGAACACCTCCCCAGGGAGGCGTCCAGGAGGCATCCGGAACAGATGCTCGAGCCGCCTCAGCTGACCCGTCTCGATGAGGAGGAGCAGTGGCTCTACTCTGAGCTCCTCCCGAGTGACCGAGCTTCTCACCCTATCTCTAAGGGATCGCTCAGCCACCCTGCGGAGAAAGCTCATTTTGGCCGCCTGTATCCGGGATCTTGTCCTTTCGGTCATGACCCAAAGCTCATGACCATAGGTGAGAGTAGGAACGTAGATTGACTGGTAAATCATGAGCTTTGCTTTACGGCTCAGCTCCTTTACCACAACAGACCGGTACATCGACCGCATTACTGCAGAAGCTGCACCGATACGTCTGTCAATCTCCCGTTCCATCCTTCCCTCACTCGTGAACAAAACCCCAAAATACTTAAACTCCTCCACTTGAGGAAGGATTTCTCCACCAACCTGAAGTGAGCAAGCCACCCTTTTCCGACTGAGGACCATGGCCTCGGATTTGGAGGTGCTGATTTTCATCCCAGCCGCTTCACACTCGGCTGCAAACCGTCCCAGTGCATGCTGAAGGTCCTGGTGGAAAGGGGCCAACACGACAACTTCATCCGCAAAGAGCAGAGACGAAATCGTGTGGTCCCCAAATCTGACACCCTCCGGCCCCTGGCTGCGCCTAGAAATTCTGTCCATACAAATTATGAACAGAACCGGCGACAAAGGGCAGCCCTGCCAGAGTCCAACATGCACCAGGAAGAAGTCTGACTTACTACCGGCAATGCGAACCAAGCTGCTTCTTCGGTCATACAGGGACCCGACAGCCCTTAGCAAAGGACCCCGGACCCCATATTCCCGGAGCACCCTCCACAGGCCGCCTCGGGGGACACAGTCGAATGCCTTCTCCAGATCCACAAAACACATGTGGACTGGTTGGGCAAACTCCCATGAACCCTCCAGCACCCTGTAGAGAGTATAGAGCTGGTCCAGTGTTCCACTGCCCGGACGAAAACCGCACTGTTCCTCCTGAATCCGAGGTTCCACCCATCCATCCCACCCAGCGCATCCATCCATCATAAAAGTAATCCATACGGCTCCAGGGTTTTAATTAATGCCTACTGAAGCGAAGCAATAGGCTTTTGTAAGAAAAACATCCATAATTAAAAGTCTTATTTTGTTTGTCTGAAAGAAGAAAGTCATGTGCACCTTGGATGGCTTGAGGGTGAGTCAATTATGGGTGAACTATCCCTTTAAGCTTCCAACAACTCTTTCAGTCTTTATTTAAGAACATTTTCCCTGAGTTAGAACAGTTGCAAGAGCTTGATTAGAAACACAGTTTCTAAAAGCAGACCAGTGGTTTGATGAGTTTACCTGTTCGGTGTGATAACGTTTAATGTCCCCGACAACCTTTAAAGCATAAATTGCATTAACAAACCTGAAAATATCTGGAGCTTGTGTTGACCACAAACCTTATTTCAGGCATTTAACCAAAAACCCATAAAAAAAACCCTTGACTTTGGGGGCGAAGTGACCTCGTTTCCTCGTTTTGACCTATAGATATATGTCATACCTGCAGCACTGCTTTAGCTTGGCATCATCACCAGAACGTCTCATTAAAACGCACCTCTCATAGGCCTGTGAAGCGTGGCAGAAAGACGCTCACAAAGCGAAAGAACAAGCTAAATCGGCGGAGGCAGAGCGCCAGCTTGCGGAGCAGAAGCGAGAGGACACCGAGCTCAAACTGAAGGAACTGCAAGGAGACTTTGACGTTTTGTGTCGCTCCCCCAGCACGCCTCTTCTGCGCAGCTACGGCGAGCTGGACCAGCTCCCTCTGCCAAAGCTGCGCTCCATCCAGAGCCAGCTGCGCTCTGACCTAGACCTCATAGACGGGGTAAGAAGGACCAGGTCCCAACACACATACGTCACCATGTCACATTTACACACACTCTAAGTAAGACCATTGCACTCTTCGCATCAAGTAGACGTAAGCGGGGGAAGAGTGGGGCAACATCCACATGAGTCAGTCATGCATGACGCACCGCATTGAATCTGTCAGAGTGTGACTGATGTTAACTCTTCTTTTTCTCAACACAGGTAATATATCAGCTTCAGTCAAAGAAATGTATAGTTTGCCAAAAGCATGATCGTTCCATTGTCCTGCAGCCTTGCCAACATTATGTACTTTGTCAGAAGTGTGCGTCTGGTAAAACGGAATGTCCTTGCTGTAAGACGAAAATATTGAAGTGGTGATGTACAGCTATCCAAGGTACTATTTAATGATTTAGCCCTTTGAAGAACTACTAATACATAATATTATTATGCTTACAGTTTCTAAATAGCATTCTTTTTTTGTGTTTCAGTATTTCATATAGTTATTCAATTGATTGTTTTATTGGAATCTAAGTGGTGTTTGACTGATACAAATCAAGTACTTGAATGCAATACCTGTTTTGTACAAGCTAGATTATCCATTTTCGGAAAGCATTAAACAATTTCCCCTTAATAACTGCTTTAGGTATTTATAGTCAGTTGGCCCTGATTTGACTGTTAGCAACAAAATCATCGGTCCGACGCCATTGTTGCTACTAGCTGTGTAAAGAGGATTTCTTTGAGGTTTCTTGTTAAAAGCACTTTGTTGTTCTTGAGGGTATTTTTTTTTTTAGGCATTTTGCTTTAAGCTGCTTGTAGGTTTAATTTTCTTAGATTTATATATTTTTTTTTCTCCCAAATATGCTAAAGTATGAAGCTTTTGTGTGTACTGTGAAACATTAATAGAATATTTCATTTTTTCTTACTGTTAAATCATGGTATAGTGTATATAACTTGTTAGTTTTCATATAAAATAGTACTAGTTAATATTACATTTATTGTTACTTAAATTTTTCAATCAAATAAGTGCAAACTTTGAATGCATTTTAGGCATAACCAGCAGCTGTAATATCAGTAAGGCACATACTGTATGCTAAGGCATTTAGTAAATCGTTTTCTCCGTCTTATAGTGACTATTTAGATATACACTAGTTGTTAGATGAGCACACGTGTTCTGAAGTCCTCAGCGACACAGTAATTCATTTTTTTATTTTTATTTTTTTTGGACTTTAGCCCTTTCAGATGTGTCAGAACGTATATCTGATTCCTGGCCACTCCCTCTTAAGTGCCTTGCCTTAAAAACATTCAAAGCATCTGTGAAGAGTTTAGGATTGTAGTACAAATCTCATCCGCTTGCAAGTACACGAGTATGTATTTTTCCAGTAGTACCATCTTATCAGAGGATTCGCCGGCCTCATATTAACGTATTCCCGAGAGACTTCACCCTGGTCGGTGCCTGAGCTCTTGAGGTTCAGCTAAAGAATCGTTCCCTCTTCTTCATTAACGATGGTGCTTTTTGGGTGCAGCTTCATTATCGTTAGAAATGTTGAATCGTCCTTAATTTAAATGTGTAGGGATATTCAAATCAGGAAATGTGTGTTTCTTTGATTGCAAAAACTAAACTGGCTTAGTACATTTCTGTTTATTGAAATGTGTAGAACTGTAGTGCTCTGTAGTGTTTACAGACGGACATCATTGGTGTTTTTTCGTATCCAAATTCGACAGTGTAATGTGCTTTAGGTAATCTAATTGAAATGACCTGCTACTGTGTTATCTGAAACTTTTTTTTTTTTTTCTTATTTCTGGTTCCTTTCATTTTTACAGCAACGAGTTTGTGCGGTAAATTGTCAGGTACACAAAGGTGCAAGTTTCTTTTTGTCTTTTGAAATCGGGATAAACGGTTTACTTCAAAAGGGATGGTTATTGAGGATCTGATTGTCCAGACCCTCTTTGTTTTTTGTTTTTCTGCGTTCAGCTTCACGAGGCAAAGACGGTGTATATATGATTTATCTGCTTTCTTTCTTGCATTGCATCTAAATCCACAAGGTCTGTATGTAGCTCATTTGGACTGATTTGTCACTGCATGTGTCGGTGTGTAACTTTTGTTAACCAGCTGAAGCTCTAGATCACACTGCCAAATGTTATTGAGCAGACCTATCCCGTCGTTTGGTCAGGCATCGCAGTCGATCGCTCAAAGTATTTAGAAATATTTTTGTGCAGTGCTTCAGATGCATTGACTATGTGCGTATCTTTTCTAGATCGATTAGCAAAAACACGTTCTCGTTCGTACAATGGTTGACGTAGATAGGTTGAAATGGATCAAAGCAGCTCTGGGTGTCCATGAGCTTTGCAGACGTGTCACTTTGTTGAGGGATTAGTTCCATTATTTGGGTATTGGACCATAAGATAGGGGTTTTGTTGGACTATAAAATGTGGTTGATTTCTCAAAGTAAGAGTGCGGTCAAATCAAATGTGGACTTTACTCAAACGAACCAAAGTGGTATTGTAGTTTATACTTGTTTCAAAGTTCAATTGAAGTGGTGTACAATTACTATGTCAGTTTTTCAATGTTTAATTTGACAGGACAACTATGCCAACAGTTTTTGCTGACAATATTAATGGACTAAATGCCCATTTTTGTAGTTTCTACCAAAGACCTTTACTATTCTTTTTTTCTCACTGCAATTTTATAACTACATTTTCATTTTAACATTTTGAGGAAATAGTTAGAAAAATGACCGAACCTAGTACCTTATTTACATTTATATGTGCATTCAAAAAATCCTAATGAATCACAATTGTTTATTAACTAAAAAAAAAAAATAAGTAAATAAAAGGAATGTTTTTTTTTTTCTTCAATTTCTCAGTAGAAACGATGACATAGTATTGAATATTGAATTGGCTGTAATTTACAGTGAAGGAATGTCATAGTAATGAATGAATATTTGTGTTGATATTCTTAAGTGGCCATATTATGGATTAGTGCTTATTTGAAGTATATATATATTTCTTTTTATACAAATAATACTCGTAAAATTCTGAAATCAGTTTTGAAACATTAGTTGTTGTGTGCACTACTTGTATGCTGTCAGGAATTTAAAAGAGTATCTCGTAAGGTGCTTTCTTTGGTTTCCATTTGACTGGTGTTTGTTTTTTCTGTCTGTTCTTCAGAATTTGGATATGAAATAAGACAATTTTTTAACTTATTTTTTTTTTTTAACCTTGAAGTCTATTATTGTATTGTCAAATGTTGTCTAATTTGATTGTGATGTAAAATGGGTCCCTTGCTCAAGCTAGTTGAAATGGCTGAGACAGACATTGGGTTACATTTATGAAAACTGTTAAATATCTACATTTCCTAGCCTTAAACCTCACTTTTTGGCCTAGATACGTTTGCCTGTTATAGTATTGAGCAAGTGAAATAATATAATTGTCCTGCAATTCACAAACAGCCATTCTGCTTCATGATATTGTTAAATCTTGGAAGGATCAAGTCTCTTTGGAACAAATTTGTGCCTTTAATAAAACCACATTGAAAGTATTTTTCATTGAACAAATGGGTAAGCCCAGCTTACCGAATGAGCTGAATTTTAGTGCCTTGGGACATTTCTCAATGCACAGACTTTCTAAAGACCAGTGTATTAAAATAATACACAATTACTCTGCCATGCCTTTATAACGTTTCACTTATTTGAAAGAGAAATATTTAATGATGTTGAAAGTCAGCATGTACTGCAGTCAAATGAACCGTTAAGGTGTTTTGCAATTGTATTCTCTACCAAGGGCGTGTTAAAAGTAGCAGCTCATCTGAACAGTTTATGAAGCATGACAATTAATTTTGAGTCATTGTGAGTTTGGGCTTCCAAATAATTTTTCTGTGTTACTGGTTTGCTCTACAGTGCTTTTTTGTACACAGTCCATAATAATGACATATATATTTATATTTTAGGCAAATGAATCTAAACCACAGCATGAAAAGTTTTGATTTCACACACATGAAACACCTCTGTCTGCATCAGCCATTTTAATACCAACTGTAATCTAAAATGACCGTTTAACATAAATGTACGACCAGGCATCTGTAATTTAAGAAGCACCAAGGACTCTTGTTTAGCAATGTGTAAATTAATGTATTGGACATTTACCATAATGCTCTGCAGTGGAAATAATAATTTCTTTATTTCTTTCTTTTTTGCATACTTGTGGATTTCTTTTGTCCATTTGTTTGTTTTTCTAATTGTGTTCTCTATCAGTAGTGTGATTTATTGAACCTAAGGTTTTATGCAATCTTGTATATACATATTACATATGAAACTGGTTAAATTTAGCAAACTAGCCAGCCAGGGGGAAAAACCTATTACAATAGTAAACTTTTATAAGAGGCTAAAATAACAATAATACAAAAAGTGACGCTTTTTTTTTGTTTTTGTTTTTTTGAAACCACTGTTCCCTATAATTAATGTTATGAATAATCGAACATTAAATCCCTGAATATTGAATGTACCATTCAAATTAGATATAAAATGGGTCACTGGAATAACTTGGAGAACAGTTCATCTATAATGATGTAGCACTAGTTTTGTGAATTGCGATACATTGCAAATAAATTTATAAGTTAAACAATTGCAGTTTTCAAGTTTGTGTATTTATCCGTGTAACAATTTGATGGAATTATGAGATGTATTTTTCTCAGGGTTTTACAGGAGAACTGTAGAATAGAGAGAGATGTCCAATTTTCAAAGGAAACTGCAACTCACAGATTTATTAGCTCAAAAGTCAAAATGAGGACAACATTTATATTGCGAGGAAGAAACATATCCCTTATTTTGGTACATTATGCATCAATATATAGAACAGCTTATATTCTAATTAGTGTTGAAATACTATACAATTTTCTGTCAATATAATATGTTTGTGTATTTGTTGTCAACACAAGACCTTAAAACATTTCCTGGGAGTTATGTGTTTAAGTTATGGAGGCTTCTCTATGGAATAGTTGTATGTTTTGATGCCGTATAAGGCCAGAGAGGTTTCTCTTCACTAGAATTACTTAAGATGGTATTATTTATAATGCATAATTTTTCTCTTGTAGTGTATCATTTTAAAATTGTTAACACTTGTCTACACTACAGCAGTTATGCAATGGTTTACAGAATTCATGGAATTATTTTTGTCATCATGGGAATTAAATAATTTTTGATCTTTAACCTGGCTCGAGTTGTTTGTCTTATTCCCCTCACGTCCTTCTGAATCAGTTGCTGAGTAGACTGATGACTTCTTTATTTTGTTCTAGTGTGGTAAGGGTTACAACATGACTACTCTTGACTTAATATGCAATTTAGGAACACTAAGTGTTTTGTGCACAAGTAAGATTAAAACAATCTGTTCATTTCTTTCAACAATGTAAAAAAAAGTCAGTAAATCAAATGGATGTGGATTATAGAAAATAATTATGTAATTATTCACCACTAGGTACATATTATGGAATAAATCCTGGTTATTGTGGTGCTATGCGGTGAAGACTGACTCGAGACTGCGATCATCAAACAGGTAACGCAGCAATTTCACTGCCTGCACACAGAAAAGGTTCAGGGAAATCAAATGGGGAAACAGTTGAAAGTATTCTTAACAATATCAGTACTTTATTGGCATATATGATTCAATGCAGAAACTTTAACATCAGTGGAATCTTTCTATTACACAGTAGGTTCCTTATAGTGGAAAATAGTTCTTTTAAAAAAAAGAGGCTTTCGCACCAGGTAGTTATTACGTCAGACTTCGTACTTCCGCTCTATTTATTTTCGCTTCTGTACTCAGTCTGAGACCGCGACATGTCTCTTCGTTTTCCTCCCACCTGAAAACAGCCGGCCCAATCAACGAAAAGAGGGCGGGCTGAGAGCCGTGACGTGGACGCTAAGCGCCGAGTTCAAGAACGACCGTGGACGCGGAGACACGGGATACAATCCGCTCTGTTGTGGAGAATATTCCCGGCATTTGCAAACTGAAGCCCGACTAAGAAGAGTGTTTGTTAAACATTTTGAATGGAGGTGATGTTGTGGCCGTACTCCCGACAGAGGGAGTATCTCGGCCTCTTTTATCTGTCGAGCTTGAACTAGCACCCTTTTGACAGGCCAGTGTCTCCTTTCTTTTCCAGTTCTTAAATATTGCCATGTCACGCTGTAATCTTGCAATTAAGTTGCAGCATTTCCGACAGACTCGAAATGAACAAAGAGCTGTGTTTAACAGAACTAATCCTAACTTTGACAGTTGGCTGCAAATATTTTCCTGTTTCTCTCTACTGTCAAATATTAGTTTAGAGGCCCCGATTGTGCCGTGGATGCGTAGATTTACTTCACATAATCTACAAAAGTTATTCACAGCCATGTGCACTCTGGTATTTCGCTCAATGGTTTCGTTTTCACATCATATAACTTGTGTGTTTACAGCTTTAGTTTGATGCGGCTGAGCTGGCGCATAACCAATGTTATGTGATTGGCTTACGGGTAACCAATGATTTTATACTTCAGACAAACGGTGTTTTGTATGGCGTGCGTTCGGCCAATCAACGTACACTTTTGTCACTGGTAGTTCCAATTGTGCTTGGTTAGACCATACTCTAGCTAATTTAGTAGCCTTTAGTAAAAGGTGTTCCTATTACTGATACTGAAATCATTCCCAGTTCCTGCAGTGCGAACACGTTAAAAAAAAAACGGTACTTCTTCCACCAATAGTTACAGGAACTATGAAAACTTTCCTCTGGTGCGAAAGCCTCATTGAAATAAAAAAAAAAATATATATATATATATATATATATATATATATATATAATATACACACTCACCTGAAGGATTATTAGGAACACCTATTCAATTTCTCATTAATGCAATCTTATCAACCAATCACATGGCAGTTCCTTTAATGCATTTAGGGGTGTGTTCCTGGTCAAGACAATCTCCTGAACTCTAAACTGAATGTCAGATTGGGAAAGAAAGGCGATTTAAGCTATTTTTGAGCATGGCATGGTTGTTGGTGCCAGACGGGCCGGTCTGAGTATTTCACAATCTGCTCAATTACTAGGATTTTCACACGCAACCATTTCTAGGGTTTACAAAGAATGGTGTGAAATGGGAAAAACATCCAGTATGTGGCAGTCCTGTGGGCAAAAATGCCTTGTTGATGCTAGAGGTCAGAGGAGAATGGGCCGACTGATTCAAGCTGATAGAAGAGCAACTTTGACTGAAATAACCACTCGTTGCAACCGAGGTATGCAGCAAAGCATTTGTGAAGCCACAACACGCACAACCTTGAGGCAGCAGAAGACCCCACCGGGTACCACTCATCTCCACTGCAAATAGGAAAAAGAGGCTACAATTTGCAAGAGCTCACCAAAATTGGACAGTTGAAGACTGGAAAAATGTTGCCTGGTCTGATGAGTCTCAATTTCTGTTGAGACATTCAGTTGGTAGATGGTACGCCAGAATTGTGGCGTAAACAGAATGAGAACATGGACCCATCATGCCTTGTTACCACTGTGCAGGCTGGTGGTGGTGGTGTAGTGGTGTGGGGGATGTTTTTTTTTTTTTTTGGCACACTTTAGGCCCCTTAGTGCCAATTGGGCATCGTTTAAATGCCACGGCCTACCTGAGGATTGTTTCTGACCATGTACCCATCCTCTGATGGCTACTTCCAGCAGGATAAAGCACCATGTCACAAAGCTTGAATCATTTCAAACTGATTCTTGAACATGACAATGAGTTCACTGTACTAAAATGGCCCCCACAGTCACCAGATCTCAACCCAATAGAGCATCTTTGGGAAGTGGTGGAACAGGAGCTTCGTGCCCTGGATGTACATCCCACAAATCACCATCAACTGCAAGATGTTATCCTATCAATATGGGCCAACATTTCTAAAGAATGCTTTCAGCACCTTGTTGAATTAATGCCACATAGAATTCAGGCAGTTCTGAAGGCAAAAAGGAGGTCAAACACAGTATTAGTATGGTGTTCCTAATAATCCTTTAGGTGAGTGTATATAAATATATATTGGAACCTTTGTTTTTTAACAGTGTAAGATAAATGTTACTGTAGACTCACCGCACTTTCAGAGTTTGGGTAAAGAAGTTTCATGGTAACTCTCCTGAAGTCTGGTCTCGCCTGACAAACACTACAGCAGAAGGAAAATACATAATTGTGTTGAATTACATATGATTTGTATTACAGTCTGCTGAAACCTTTTACATTTTTCTTTCAGCTTTGCTTATATACCTCTCAAGAATAATATCAAAGCATGTGACAGCATTGTCTGCTTGCAAAGCGATGATAAGGCAGGGACCCTCAAGTAGAAGTGCTCCACCAGCAGAGGACCTCAGTAACTCAGACATGTGCTGCCTTTGTTTTTCATCTGGTGTGCAGAGCTTTCCAGCCACCAGGTGGCAGCCTGTCCTCAGCAGCCGATGTAGTAGCTCCGAGTACAGAGGAGGCTGACTCTGTTGCAGGAGGTTGGAAGGTATCAACAAGCAGGTGGTCTGACAAAGAGCACTGCAGACCAAAGGCCCTACTGGCACCAAAACACAAATAAACAACAACGATTCCCATCCTCATTACAAAGGTCAATCGGAGCTAGTGAAACATCTACAGGTTTTGGTTTATGTTTGTGTCATTGACTCTGTTTTCTGATGTGATGTTAGAGTGAGAAAGAGGACGAACGCCTTGCCTTGACCAAATCCTGATTCAAATGTGTTCTTGACAGCGGTTCTAAGGGTGGTAAACTGTTCACGGTCCAAACTAGCATCAGGATCTGAACGTAAGCAGGATATCTGAAATAAGACAGAAGAGATGTTTAACTATAGCACCAACATAATTCTGGGAAGGAAAAAAAAAAAGTACCTTCTCGTGTTGCATAACTGAAGTTTCAGTCCAGCACACGCCCTCTGGAAATACCAATTTTATGTCTTCTACAGCCTTCCGATAAGATGGAGATCCTGTACAAGAATGTACAAATAGTGTTAGTAAGCTCTGACCAGACTTTAAAGTCTGATTATTTTTGTCCGAGTGCTGACCATAGATGCCATTATGCAGTCTGTCAGAGCCATACTGTGCTCTCCATAGAGTCTGATCTATAGTACGGGCTTCAATAGGGTCCTCAGGACCCATCAGCTCCAACAGCCTCATTACCGCATTCACTCCCAGTAAACCCAAAGCCAGCGAGGGGCCGGATCTCAAGTACTTCAACTCCAGCTCCTCGGTGGGATCCTGGACATCAAATAAACATGAACATTTGATTTTATGCTCTTAAAAAAAAGTACATTTTATTTTGATGTTTGACTAATGCAAGCTGGCTAACCATAAATGCTTGTTGGTAAATTTGGCAGGATAATTTACGTAATTATAAAAATTATATTTATGAAGTCCTACTTAAGTGGGCCAAAAAAACTCTCGAAATTAAAGCTGTATTGTATTTACTTGAAATTATTATGCTATTAATTGTCTGAAAGCATTACGTTCAGTTTGCACTCAAGTATAATCTTAAAGTATATTATTACATATAATACTAATTTTAAAAGTATGCTAAAGTGTACTACTTTTTTTTTTTACAATGGTCTAGAATAAATGTGATTATTTGCTCTTTTTAGGATATTTAGGAAGAAGAGAGCAGAGTGACCTGTTGCTTCGACGGATGTATCAGTGCATTTGCCATGTTTGAGTCCAGTAGAAGCACACGTAAGCCCACTAGAGTATATCCATTCTGTTTGATTATGGTGAGAATTTTACCAAAGCAGTGTCTCCAGACTCCAGGCTTGAACAGAGCTAGAGTCAAAAGTGGCTCTGGGCCTGTAGAGTACAGAGAGAGGGAGCTGAAAGAAAAAGCTGTGAAAGACAGCTTCTAAAAGGACATGTTCTAAGAAGACATCACTTACCCACTGTCATGTAACTGTAAAGCGACTGACTTCTGAGACCTGAGAGTTGTCGGAGATTGACAGTCAGTTCCCAGAGTACATGGGAGGGTAAAATAGATTTTGGCTCTGTTTTGTTTCTGTACATACCAGGAGTGTCAATATGATGAAGTGGTAGAAATTTCAATGATGGACGACTGCTGTGATCTGAAGATGAAAAAGCTTAAGTTAAGCAAACTGCTTTTGGCATAAAAGTAAAAGGATCATCCCTACCAAACTATTATCTAGTCGAATCCTCACCAGGGACCAATTCTGCCTCAGAGAAGAAGAGGCAGGTCTGTCTGAAAGCTGTCTCGGGAGTAGGGGACATCAATACATGCAGTTTTCCTGGGTAATTTTGTGGTAAAAGTCTACGTAGGGTGATGAATGCCCTCACCCTCCTCAGAGCCAGGACCAGGGCAGGAGTGGATGTTAAGCTATGCACACTGCTCTGCCACTCTCTCTCCCCGATCTCAAAAGGACTCAACTCTTGTGCCTGCCACTTAGACAGCTTGGACACCCACTTCAATGCCAGCAACTCGAATCCGTCTAGCCCTGCTTGTACAAGAGAAAGTAGATTCAGTAGCCAGACACTGAAACGTACTTACTCTAAATTACTCAAACAAGTACAAAGGATAGTTTTGCGAAGGATAGTTTTAGGTCAGGGATGTTCGGTCCTGCTTCTAGAAGTCTAGTTTCCTGTGAAACTTGGCTCTAACACACCTGCCTGGATGTTTCTAGTGATACCGAAGATCTTGATTAGCTGCTCCAGGTGTTTTTAATTAGGATTGGAGCTAAACTCTTCAAGAAGGTGGCCCTCCGTGAGCAGGATTGGAACCTGTGTTTTAGGCCTTGTCCACACAGACACAGGTATTTTTGTAACCGTGACTTTTTTACGAGGTTCGGCTGTATCAGATCACTGAAACCGAACATTTTTGAAAAGCCCTGCCAGAGTGAGGATGTTCAGAAACGCCGGTTACAGTGTTGTCATGTAGATAGTAAAAGGCAGGTTTTGCCTTGCGACGTCAGATTGTGCGCCGTTATCCGCCTACCGGAACCTGTAATGACTTTTTGTTATGGTACGTTCACACCGGACGCGAATAGCGTGTCAGGCGCGAATGATTTCAATGTTAAGTCAATGCAAAGACGCGTTATGCGCGTGAAAAATTCCTGCGGCGCGAATGAGGCTTGGAGCGCAGAAGACGCGAATATGCCTTATTCGCGTGAATGCCGCAAGTTGAGCGTCTGGCGCGTTAAGCGCGAATGATTTAGTTCTCTATTTATCATCAAAATAAAAATAAGTGACAGCTAGATTAGGTGGATGAGGGCGAGGGTGATCCTCGTTCCGATGCGGGACAACAGGTCATCAAACTGGGCGCGGGACAGGCGGAAGTACCGCTGACAGCGACCGTCATCCAGCGCAGCTCCTGGAGCGAGCAAATGGTGAAACTAGCCAAACGGCTCGCCTCCGAAGGGTCCGGTGGACACAAATACGGCGGCGATGATCCCCATTCCGCTGTTCTAGCTCTCCAGAGCAAATACAGTGCGGTGAATCTCTCGATGAATGCTCGATCAACATAAACAAAGATGGCCGTCAACGGGTTTTGGTTTTGATGCACGAGACGCTTCAAACTTTCGCTTCAAACTTTTTATTTTACCCGCGTCAGTTTCGCTTTTGACGCGCGAATTAACACAAAGTGGTCAAGCGTCAAACTAGACACGGTAGACGCGAATTTGACGCTCTATTCGCGTCCGGTGTGAACGTAGCATTAGGCTTCTGATTAGCCAACGTGGCCTCCTTCAATCGCCGCCTTCTGGTGTGGCATCCCAGACAGCAAACTGACATTGAATCAACGTGGAAAACGACGTCTCTCATGACATTGAAACAACGTTGATTTGCTCATCGAATTAACGTTGAACCAACGTCAGACGCGGCATTCTTCAAAGCTAAATGAAATCGAAAATTGGTTTGCTTTCATAACGTTGAAACAACGCGTTGATTTCAAGTTGATTTTCCGTTAGTTTTGAAAGAATGACGCATCTGACGTTGGTTCAACGTTAATTCGATGAGCAAAACAATGTCAGATCAACGTTGTTTCGATGTCATATTTCCACGTTGATTCAATGTCAGTTTGCTGTCTGGGATGCTCTTGACGGTGCTTGATAATCATGTTTTTGTGTTTTCATGTGGACATGATTTTTTTTTAAACGGAAGAGGAAAAACTCTGGTTAGAAAAACACTCATGTCCGTGTGGACAAGGCCTTAGGTAGAGTTGATGTACCTGCTGCATCTCCCCTGAGAACTTTATGAAGAAATCCCATTTCATTCTTCATGATGTTTTGACCAGTCAACGTGAGAATCACCACCTGCTCTACATCTGGCCAAGAGGGATACGTGTGTTTGGACAGGACCATGTGGCTATACTCTGGTACTGTCCACATGAGCCCACCTGTAGGATATCATATAAATGTCAAAATACTCTCGTGCGGTAATTGAGTAATTTATGAAAATGCATTGTAATGTATGTACCCAGAACATTGTGGTGGTTTTTAGAGTAGGGTACAGTGTGAAAGCAGATGTGTGGATCAACAACATCTGTGAATCTTGCACGGATTGATCCAATAAGGCCTTGGGCAGCAAGCTCATTCATACAACCTTCACCAGGCAAAGAAACAGGACATTTAATTTTTGGAGCATCAGCTTCACATACAGTAAATAGCTGGAACGACATGTGCTATCCAGATGCTCTACCTATCGGCAGTCTGGAACAGTGTCTAACTGCGCTTTCTCTCCTCATGAGCAGCACAAGACAATTAGAGGACAGCTCAACCTGTTCTCCATCCAGCAACACTGTGGGAGCATGACAGAACGCTGCAACCTAACGGAGACAGACAGCGTTTCCAGACAAATGCAATCAGCATCAATGTCATGGTAGTGTCCTACTCTCAGTTTCAATATATCTCTGTGCAAGTACAGGCTCACTGTTGGTTTTATTCACCTGCTTGGTGGTGAGACCCAAAGATTGAGCTTGTTTCCTGGATATCTGTGTCCTTTGAACTCCCAACAGACTGAAGCCAGTCTTTGCACAAGCAGATAGTATATAGCTGTAACAGCATGGTCCAACCACAGGAGACACAATAAGAAATATATCCGCTGTATGAGGTCAGAGGGAAAAGGGGTAGAAAGTTTGACTTATAAGATGTAAGACTGCTACAATGAGAAGAGTTTATATATATATATATATATATAGTCACCTTCAACAGTGGCACATAAAGTTGCTGGAGAAGAGGTAAGAATGTCGGATCTTTCTCCTCTGTCACTCTTCTCTGAGTCCTGAATCCTGCTAAGAGGGATAATCAGAGTCAGCAAGTAGTTCAAAGGAATAGTTTGCCCAAACATGAAAATTCTGTCATTATTTAATCATAGCGTTACAAGCTTGTATGATTTTTTTTTCTTCTATGAAACGCAAGATTTTGAAGAATCTTTTTCTGTTTTTGTCTATATTTAAGTCAATAGAACAGATACTCACGACATATGATGACATTTAAATGCAAGTCTTTATTCTCTCTCAATTTAAATCAAAATCAGCCAATGCATATAGACTACATCAAATATCAATCATCTCACAATCACCCAATCTCATATTTTAGGTTTGTTTTCGCCATATTCAATGTAATCTGTTGAGCAAAGTTTCGATTTGAGTGTGAATACAGCTAATTTTGGTCTGTTCATCATACAAAGTGGTCATATTGCTTTGAAAGACTCAACATATCTGCTAAATCATATGGATTATTTTGATGTTAATTTCATATCCTCTAGAGTTTGATGGTTTTGGCTCCCATTGACTTTCATAATATGGACAAAGGCAGCTGACAGGTTCTTTGTGTTTCACTTAAGGAGAATGATTAAATGATGAAAGAAAATGACAACTATATATTTGAATTAAAAGCGTTGGTGGGAGCGGAAAGGAAATTAAAGAACGCAGACGCAGCCGGATCATTTCCATAATGACCAATGCAATCTACCTGGAGCAGTGGAAATTAGCGTCTGGTTTAAGAGATGCTTTTTTGGGCCGGTAAATAATGGCACAAATACCAGTAAATTGACTAGCGCAACCTTAGTAAATCATCTTGCATGATTCATAAATGTTGTCTGAAACTCCAACAAATACATATGCAATAAGGTCAGTCACAAAAATAACTGTTCATGCCTTTTCAGTGCAAATGTTTCACTGCATGTCTTTAGTAAATCCTGCCAGTAGTTTTTTTAACACCAAAAGAGTGTTCGAGCAGCTGTTCGCAAATCTAACATTGTAAGATACTAACATTGGGGTGTTTTTTGCTATTCTACCACCAAACCACAAGCAGAGCCCCAGATGCACAAGATTGGCAAGACGGGGTGAGTAGAGCAGGGACTGGTCTTGACTATGATGGTAAAGGGCGTTGATGGATGCTGGATGTGTCCGCCTTGCCAGCTGGGGGTCTGATGGCCCTGTGATCTCCTGCCACACTGAGTTAGCGTGAGGACCCCGGAAAGCCATGATAAGAACTGGCTGTCCCTCGCTATGCATAACTGTGTTGCTGACTAAAAGACAGGATATGCATTAACCCATGCAATTTGTGTACATTTTGCGTAATTATGGTGGGAGATGATTTGTACCTGCAAAGTTTTTCAGTAGCTCTTGGGGTGGGTAGAGGAAACGGATACCACATACATCTAGACTTGATCTGCACATAAGCTCAAGTGTGTGATGCATTGCCAGTGGGTTAAGCAACAGTGCCTTGCCTATCAGAACAAGTGCTGTCTAAAAGCAACAAAAAAAAAAAAATAATGTTTTAACCAAGATACTATAAATGTCCACTGAAAGATAAAATGGCATTTTCTAAAGACGCCCACCTCCGTATGACACTCTTGAGAATTTGTGGCTTCTGCCCTTTGAGATTTTTGATCTTCGGTTTCCAGAGTTTGCCAGTAGAATCCTGGGATCACACTAAAGGCCCTTTCAACGGCCTGAAACAAAGCGCATTAAAGTTCACTTTTAAAAAATAAAACTTTTGCTGATAATTTACTCACTCCCATGTCATCCAAGATGTCCATGTCTTTCTTTCTTCAGTCGAAAAGAAATTAAGGTTTTTGACGAAAAAATTCCAGGATTTTCTCCATATAATGGACTTCAATGGAAACGATTCAAGGTCCAATCAAGAGTTTCAGTGCAGCTTCAAAGGGCTTTAAACGATGCCAGACGATGAATAAGGGTCTTGTCAAGCGAAACGATCGCTCATTTAAAAAATAAATAAACAAGTTTAAGTTTTATAAGCACAAATGCTCACCTTGCTCTGTTCTGTGATGAGCGTTCGTGACTCTCGTGTTGAAACTCGTTCATCAAAACGAACAAATCTTTTTCCGAGTCATGACTCGAAGGGTCCTAGATAAGACCCTTATTCATCGTCTGGTTTCGTTTAAAGCCCTTTGAAGCTGCACTGAAACTCTCATTTGGACCTTGAACTGTTTGGTTCCCAATAAAGTCCATTATATGGAGAAAAATCCTGGAATGTTTTCATCAAAAACCTTAATTCCTTTACGACTGAAGAAAGAAAGACGTGGACATCTTGGATGACATGGGGGTGAGTAAATTATCAGCAAAAGTTTTTTTTTAAAAAGTGAACTACTCCTTTAAGGATTTAGAAAATAATGTCTAAATAACAGAGAAGAAAATGGAAGCATAAATCATACACCACCTCTATATTTGGGTTGACAGAGATGAAGCAGTCCAGGTAAGATGAGGGCATGTGGACAGCCTGTTCCTCCAGCAAATGATTAAGCTGAGGTACCCAGAATGCAACAGTCTTCAATGACGTCTGAGCAAAAAACTTGCAAACTCGCCTGTAAAACATGCTCTCGTTCTTTTTGACCTCCTTTATCTAGGAGAAGAGAAAAAAAATCAGATTCCAATATAAACTTGAATGATAGTCAGTAAAGACCTCGTTTTTAAATAATGTTTGACCCACACAGAATCTGCTGTAGTTTTTGTACGTAAGTGGGAAATCTGTTATGCTACGTTTAGAACTCACCATGGATTTCCTACAGCCAGTTTGACCATCCTCAAGAGACATGGCACAGATGTACAAAGCCAAGCCGTCTTCCTTATAAAACTGCTGCAGCCCAGCCACCCAGAAAGGGGCATCAAGCGTGTCACCCTTTCTGTTGCAGTTTTTGGGATCGGTCTATCACAGAACAGGTAAGAGATGAAATGTAAAAACATTTTTCATTGCCAAATTGTTATTATTTTTGGTAAATAAGACATACCAAAGACAAGAACCATGCCATGAGTGCATTGTAAACATGTGATTTGATGAAGACTGAATCCACTCTCTGTGCTTTTCTCTGCATTCTTCCAGCCACCACCCCAAGACTGGACAAGGACACAGTCAACAGCAAACACTCCCTCATCTCTAGATCTGCAGGCAGGGTGTTCACAGTGGGAAGGTAGGATGCTTCCTAATGGAAGTGATTACAGCAGCGTTATTAATATCATCAATTATTATTTTATAGAAAAACCGTCAATAACTCACAGGGTCATAAAGAATATCAGTCCTCTCAGCAGCTCCCTCCGTGTTATTAGCAGAACGTTGAGGTCTGAATGTTTGCATGAACTTCAGATCCTTCTGCCATCTGACTTTATGGCTGTGGTCATACAGTTATTACGTTAGTTTATGCATATTCCCGTGAGTGAAGAAAATGTAAGAATGCTCCGTACCTTTGTTTGTTTTGAGCAGCTGGAACGTGAGAAGATTGAGAATTTCGTTTATGTTGGTCACATTTTGCAGTATTGACCTGCTGAATACCAGGTTCACTGCATCTAGTTTCAAAATCACAAAGCTGGTTTTCCTTTATGATTTTCCCTGAGGGCGGTTTCTGTCTAGCCTCAGCAAAATCTCTCCCAGATATCTCTACCACACTTTGTTTTGACTGTTTGGTGTTTTGGAGTAATAAACTCTTCTCAGCAAATTCTCTAGAAATGAAAAATAAACATGCATTGTGATACGATTTAGTGGGAGTATATTTGTCGTTCATCACCTGAAATATAATTAATTATAAGTTGTATGTGATCTCATACCTTTTCTGATCATTTGCTTTTGCCTTTGTGTTAGTTGTCCTCTTAATGGAGCTTATTTTCTTTTTCATGTTTAGAGGACTTACGACACTGTTACTCTGGCTAATAGCTGATTGCTCTTTTTGAAATTTGTTGTCGCGCAAATCAATATATATGGTGGGAGAGTCTAGATTGAGTTGTAATCCATCCTTCATCGGTCGCCTAGTACATCTGGGAAAAGTCACAGACACATTTAACCAGTTATTGAAACATGAATATACACTATTGTTTAATATTTTTGAAAGAAGCTCACCTGGGCTGCATTTATGTGATCAAAAATATTGTGAAATATCAATCTAAAATAACATCTTCTATTTTGATGTTTTGAAATTTAATTTATTCCTGTGATGACAAAGCTGACTTTTCAGCATCATTACTCCAGTGAACACTTCTGTCACATAAATCCTTAAGAAATCATTCTCATATGCTAATTTGATGCTCAAAATACATTTATGATTATTATCAATGTTGAAAACAATTGTGCTGATTGACATTTTTCTGGAAACTAATACATTTTCTTGGGATTTTGTTCAAAGGTATAGCATTTGAAATCTTTTGTAACATTATAAATTTACTGTCACTTTAGCAACATCATTGCTGAATCAAATTTATATATTTTGTTAAATGAACAAACATAGTGAGCACAAACTTTTGAACAGTAGTGTAATGTCCTAATAGACTTTACCTGAGGGATGATTCTTGTATATTATGGGTTTTTGGAGATGAAACATGTGTCTTTATTTCCATCTCATTTACTTTCTTCTCACAAAAAGCAACCAGCTGTTTCATTAAATCATTTTCATGTGTTTCGCTGTCATAGCCTGCAACAAAAAATATGTTTTTCTCGTGTTCTTCTTCGTCTAAATGAATAAAAACAGTCTGCAATCCAACCTTTGTGTATATTGGGTTGAATTGGTTCGATAAGAGGTTTGTGTTGCTTTAAAGTCTGAAGGACTTGAGATCCCAGGTATCAGGAGGCTGTTGAGGTAATAATGTATTACATACTTTGTATTTAGCTCTGGTCTAATAATCTGACTATATACAATTGAACTTACTGTCAATGATAAAACAGGGCAGAACGGAGTCTCTATCCATCCAGTCTTGTTTGCTTTCTGTTGCAAAGGGGCATTGTTTTCTGTTGTATGTGCCACTCTTTCATTCAGTGATCCTTCTGTTTTGTGACCCACATGAAGTTGAGGATTAGAGTCACCTTTCTGGTCATCATCAGTCCCGGAAGTGAATAGCTGTGATACAGATTTGTTTAGATGCATGCTTTATGTAAGACAATATAAATAATTTGATGGTTCTCTCTCTCCCTTGGTTGAATTGGTTGAATCCAGAATAAGATTAGAATATGAATTTAATCTCTTAATGTTTGAGAAGAAATAGTTTGTAAACAAAAGTTTAGTTTTTATAGAAGGTGAAAATCTCTTTTTAAATGGTAATGTTTTGATAACTTATGTTTTTTAGATTAAAAAGTTTTTTTTAATGATGGAATACATTACTTTAAATAAGTCTCTCTCTCTCTCTCTCTCTCTCTCTCTCTCTCTCTCTCTCTCTCTCTCTCTCTCTCTCTCTCTCTCACACACACACACACACACACACACACACCTTGACTTCTGGCTCTTTAGGTGAAACACACTCCAGGTTCATGTTCATCCTGGTCTTTTTCATAAAGTGAATCCCTGGTGGTCTCTGAAGGACAGATATCTCTTCTTCATCGTCCGACTGCAGTGTGAATTGTTTAGTTAATTTCAGTTTACCTTGATTGTAAAGCTTGTGCTAGTCAGGATTACAATTCACCTGGACCTCACATTGACTTGGTCAGAAATAATCATTATAAATCATAAACACTGGTGACATAACGAAAGTCGCTTGTGAAAAAGTATCATAACACAGTAGCAGCTTGAACTTACTGATGATGACAGGTCAGAGTCAATGGATGGTATCTTGGATATTAGATCGTCTAGATGCGAATTCCTCTGCATTTCTTGTATTTGGCTGGGCAGGTGCGTATTTTTTTTCTGTCAAAATGTTAAACAGCAGCTGCTGTTGACTAAATGCGGTCTAACATCCAGACGCCAACGAACTAAACTGTAATTTGGATGTCATGGTGACCGCAGGCGCTGTAGACAGTCACTAAGCTACGAGTTGTCCAAATATGAAATACATCCCATTCCCATCCCAAAATGTGATTCGTCCGTTTCTGTTAGTGTCGTCCACAAGTTATCTTTCTGACGCAAGGTTGTTGTTGTTATAGTAACGCAGCACTTACGGCGGTAAAGTTGAATTAATGTTAGACAATAACGTTATAACTATTATTTGCGCATTTGTGAGGTTGAATTTGCAAATGGCGAAGCAAATACCAATCACTTTATGCTTTTAAAAAGCTTATAACTGAATGTTCCAATAGTATGCGGCAAGAAGCCAAGCATGAATCCAGGCGAATCCTTAATTTCGCGAATTGACAGAAACTTGATTATGTCTAATCTTTTAACCAGAACGTCTGTCGTTTCAGATTAATATTGCAGGAGGAGGACGTGTAACGTTAAAGGTAAGTAAAAACATTTTCTTTGTTTATACATTATAAACATTAAATAATACAGTAACAATAACATATAGCCTATAGGCTGCATTCATTTTAGGCATTGTATGTTTTTGTTATAACACTGTATTGTTTTTGTTATGCACTAATGATATATGATCTATCATTCAAGTCATGCCTTTAGATTTCTTTAAATAAAAAATAATAATTTAAGCAATTTCAACTTTCATAAGTACTACACGAGTTTCTACTTGATTTTATATATATAGCTATACAGACAGTCAATTGAGTAGCCTACAAAGCATGCAGCAACAAGTTTTACATTGAATAACGTGACCTTTTTACAGTTTTTTTTTTTTTTTTTTTAAGGGTGTGTGTTGTTGTTTGCTGTTTAAAGACTTTGAACTTGAAACTGCTGCTTATTTTTCTTGTCAATTTGGCATGCAGTTTCATGCCCACCCCCTTGAACATCTCTGGCCTGGTCCTGTTTTGGCGCGAAACTTGCTAATCGAGCTTTTCTTTGTCCACTGTAGTCCTTGTAGTGAACATTAGGACACTATATTTAGTAAATGTCTCTGACATCATACATGTCATTACGCTGTCAAGTCATGTAGAGTAAAAAGCACTTTCAGGGCTTTTCATGGTTACCAAGTTGTTTCACCATGAAAACACTTCTCTTTGGTCATTAAAAATGACTGACATTAATTTAGTGATCAAATTTAGCACTCTGTCTTGAGGAAATATGATCATATTTATTTTGTAATTATTATTTCAATCAGATTAATATTTGGAATGTTATGGGATTTCACACCAAAAAAAAAGACTGTTACTGTTTCTGTTACAAAACAGGGCATGGTCTCATAGGCCTACCACTGTAGAGGACATCCAGAATTGTTTTTCAGTCATTTTGGGAGACAAAACAAGTGAAAATAGGGAACTTACTATATGTCAATATTCCTATGAAATATTAGATATTATTATGAAAGTGTTGCCAATTATTACTCCCATTATTACACTTATGTTTCATGACATGTTGTCCCGAGAACACATTAATATGCAAATTAGATACAGTGTATAGATACATTGTATTGAATGAGACTACCCATGTATGGTAATTTTCCCCAAAAAAACTATTAGTTCATGAACATATGAATAAATAAATAAAAAAATTATAATCTGGGTCTTGGGAGGATATATGTTTATGTCTCACATTTTAGGTGTATTACTATTATTAAAATAGAAAAAATAGCCTGTGGTTTTTGTTTGTTTTTTGTTATGAAGGTCTAATATTTTCAGTTTCAAATCTATGAAAATAGCAGTGTAAGTGAGGAATTTGAGCTGAAATATGAGACAAAATATGTGAGATTAAGCTGAAAATGATGTGTGACAAAAACGAAAGAAATTTTACTTGTGAAAAGAACCGTCTTTTTGTATTGTGTTGTATTTCACGCTGTTATTGTGTTACATTTTGTGTCAAAAATCCATGTCGTTGTTAGTGGACAAATTCAATAAACCAGTCAGAATCTAGTGAAACTCTTTTATTAAAAGTCCCATAGTAAACACATGAATGTAAAAGTTGTGATCGGAAAAAACTGACCTGTCATGTGAATGGAAACCATATGTAGACTAATCAGAGTTCCTCATAACGTTATTAGCAAACTCTACAGGGGGTATTAATAAAGCTACATCTAATTTTTAAGTTATTATAATTATTGAATGTTGCTGAAGAAGACAAATGGGGAATTGCATGTTTAAACCTGAAGGCTGGCCTTTGGACTTAGAGCATGGATCAATATTGAGTAAATATCGCTATATTTGGGTTTGATTTATCAAAACAAGCTTTTGCGCAATGTCCTTTTCGTGTTTATGAGACCACAAACAAACACAATTTGTTTAATTTTGAAGGAAGAACTACACATTCTTAAAAAAAAGCATTTTAAGCCACAATACTTTTAGCCATAATACTGTAATGTTACTTTTGATACTGGAGTGAAACCACTTAGTAGTTTGTCCATCCTTAAAGCGTTTCACACACCACACACACACACACACACACACACAAGTAACCTAGTTGTTATTAAAATGTCTTTTTTTTAACTGCCCAAAGTTTTTTTTTCTTTCTGTATTGATATATATCCAATAATATTGTTATGTTTGCATGACTTGGATTAAGGATCTTTGTAAGATCATTTTACAAAAGAAGATATTTCTTGAGATAAATAAAAGTCATGATTGGAAGCTCTGAATTATAATGTCTGAAAAGAAAACCTGATCTGTGGTTTAGTAGAATGAATGATATTTAACAGTTCCGGAAATGCTCACTTCCGATGTTCCGCAGGTCAAGTCCAGAAGCGCTGGGTGGGCTGGCACATGTGATGTTATTGTATATTGTGACAAGTGTATGGGGCTCCTCACCTTCCCCAAGCATTTCAACCTGCAGTGGAACTACCTGTGGCTTCTGTAGAACGAAATCTCGAAAGGGTTTGGCACTACAGTCACATTTCCAGTTGTTACCTGAGAGCCAGAGCTGATCCAAGCTATCAGGGATAGAAGCTGGAAGGTTGACCAGTACATTGTCTTTCAGGTTCAAGTAGCGCAAGCGTGGCAGCATGTATATAGTCGCATTACGTATGAGCTCCAACCTGTTTCCAGAGAGATCCAGCCAAGACAGGTGTTGCAGTGGCAGTAAGGCCTCAGCAGGAAGATTGCGAAGTAAGTTGCCTGACAGTAGCAGGTAATCAAGATTCTTCAGGCCATAAAATGTGTGGGAGGTGATGGATGTTATCTGGTTGAATCTTAGATCAAGCTGTTGCAGCCCTTGTAGTTCCCCAAACTCTGCCGCTCCACTGTAGAGATGTTGTTGTTCTGTAGGAAAAGGCGACGAAGACCTGTAAGACCAACGAAACTTTGGGCTGAGATTTTTGCCAAACAGCTTCTATCAAGGTGAATACTGTGGAGCTTTGACAGACCCTTGAAAACTTGATCTGGTAGGCTGTGAAAACAACTGCCTGTAAGTTTTATCACAGCAAGGTGATTCAGACCCATAAATGTGCCCATGCGTGCCTCTTGCAGCCGGTTGTTCTCCATGTTCAGCACCTCTAGATGGCCCAGCCCTTCAAAAACTCTCACTCCCAAGGCTCGTATCTGGTTGTGACAAAGGCAGAGTTCCTCAAGATGCTGCAAATCACGGAAAGTCCCAGGTCTCAGACTACTGATCGAGTTATTTGACAGGCGAAGCACATGTATGCTCTTTAGACCGAGGAAAGTTTCATCGTGAAGCACAGATAGACGATTTCTGCTGAGGTCCAACCATCTCAAAGATTTCAGGCCCGCAAATGCCCTAGGTGCCACGGTCACGATCTGGTTTTGGGCCAGATAAAGCTTCTGCAGCTTCGCTAGTTTCTGAAACACATTTGCCTTGATAACTTTTAGATTGTTTCCAGTTAGGTCCAATTCTTTGAGCTCTGTAAGACCCTGAAACAGTTGCGGTTGGAGATACGCCAGACGATTCCCAGTAAGAACTAACTCTCGTAATCCATGTAGGTCTTGAAACCCCGTCTCAGGCAGGACAGACAGTGAATTCCATCCTAGGTTCAACAGCCACATGTGGCTGAGTCCAGCGAACAACCTGTCATCTATTCGAGACAGCTGATTATTGTTGAGACTGAGGGATGCAAGGTTGGGTATGCCCTGGAAGACTGTGCCAGCTAATGAACGAATATTGTTCCTCTCAAGGTGCAGGTGAGCAAGGGAATTCAGACCTTTAAAGGCATGGGCGTCGAGGGATACCAGCATGCTGCTCTGTAAGTTTAGGAACTCCAGATTGGACAACTTTTCAAAAGCAGCTGCTGGTAAGTTAGCAAACAGGTTTCCATCCAGCCATAGCGAGCGTGTGGACAGAGGGATGTCGGAGGGAACCTGGGTGAGGTTGCGTGTGCTGCAGTAGACGTTGAGCTCTAAAGTGTAGTCATCTTGGAGACAGGTACATCCCTTTGAGCATGGCTCACTTTTTTGGCCAGTGGGTTCCTCTGAGGGCTTTGGATCTACCGAGGGCCCCGGATTCTCTGAGGGTCTTGATTCGTCTTTGTTGTGGTCTGCCAGCACCACTGATGTCCCCATTGTGTACAACAAGAGCAGTACAAAGGGGTTCATCCCAACTAAGAGACAATTATCGAAATGCCAACATCAATCATCAATTGCAAGGTAACAAAGCACATGCCTATCTATATACTTTTTCAACATCTGCCAAATTTGGGAAATTAGTTACATTTACACCATCACATGATTATATTCTCAAGCATTCACTGAACATCAATATATACATCAACATCAAGAAAAAATAAATACATTTAAAAAACAATAGATAGTTTTGGCTCTACCTTTTTTTATTGTGACAGCAGTCCAGCGGGTGATCACTAGAAGAGTGGCATGTGTGTGACAGATCTGAACCACCTCTGCCCCATATATCTCCTTGACAAACCCACACAGTGTTCTAGACAGAGTTAACCTCTTCATTTCTGCTTTTTTCATTTTCTGCGGTTGCTACTATTTTACCGTTTGAATATTAAATTAAGCCTAGCAAAACTTGTCTTGACTTTTATAATAAATATTTACTGTCAGGGATGATTTCAATATATATTTATTTGTAAAAAAAAAAAAAAAAAATGTGTAAGTGGAGATGTTGAAACATTGCCATTATGTTAATGTAACTCCTTTTGACATATTTTGTATAAAATTAGGACTCTAATTTTAATTTTCAATGCGTTTCCACAAAATATTCGGTCTAATACTCCCACACATTTTAGATGAAAATCCTTTAACTTTCTCTGAATGGTGTTCCAAAGTTCATGTAAATCTACTGAGCCATCAGTGACATTTAACAGATGGTACTTGCTCCAGTTGTGGTTATCTGTTGGAAGACATCCAAATCTAAAAAGTGAATCCGGGTTAAACAAGCTTTAACAAGGCCTGACTGAAAATAATATTGTCTGTTTACCAATTTTAGACTAAAACACAAGTTGCAAGGAGAGCAATAACACCAAAAAGGAAAGAAGTTTTCTGTTAAATGTTAGTATTTCTTTGAAGAACATCATGCAAGTCAATACTCAGTGGCATTCAAAGAATGTTAGGAAGCGGTAACTATTGTAAAAAAGCAAACAGAGATAGGACCCCCTGCTCTGGCAAACCCTGCAGTTATCTGCCCTCATACACAAATCAATTCAGGCGTCTCATTCGCATATTGTAATTTTTTGCAGGTTCTTGTGTGTCATAGGGTTACTGAACTTGTTGACCCAGCTCAAATAGACTGACTGGTCATCTCAAGGGTTTACAAAAGATGAATAGATGTCTAATGATCTCTTTTTTTACCCCCAGGGCAATCGTTGGTGGAAATGTTCAACAGATTTTCTCTAGTCAAATATTCACAGAAGCAACACATGTGACCACATTTATGTTAATGTTTAGGCTCGATGTTACAGTGTTGAGGGGGAAAAGAAGCATTACAGCAGATCAGATGACTGAGTAGCTGGTGGACAAGGAGCAAGCGAAAAAAAAGTTTTGTATTTTAAGACACAAAATCACCAGTAGAGGGAAGTACAGTCTTTTGCTAAGTCTTTTGTAAGTTGAGCTTCTAAGAATTTTATATTTTCTGCTGTATTATCAATTATAGTCATCTAAATGACACACACAAAAATAACATTTTGTTTTTGATTGTTTACTTCCATGTTGAAAGCCTCCTCATCAAGTTCACCTTGCCTCGGGTCTGTTTTCCACCACTTTCCACTGTCTGTTGTGATGTTCTTTGAGGACAGAGTAAGGTAGGCCTACCTGACAACAAAAAACAAAGAAAAGTTCCTTCTCGAAAACAGAAAGTGTTTGCATATTCATGAAGAATATGCAGGAAGGTAGTCCGTACTAAGTGTATCTGCCACTGGCTTTTAATGATTGCTTCTGCGCTGACAAACAGCTCTAATTGACTCATTCTCTTACAGTCAATGATATACAAAGGTTTGGAGCTTTGTCATTTGGCTGTGGCTTACAATGAGCACAAGCGGTGTCAGGATGAATGACAGTGCCAGCTGCTCAAACACACTCAGCTTGTTCCTAGCTGTGCTGTTGGCACGCTTCACAAACGGCCTCTCACGTCAACCGGCTGAGCAAACTAGTACTGGGCGTTATAGTGCCTCTTCAGCACTGCGGAGGTGAGGTGAGCAGGCCTAAAGGACATGGTGTCAGGTTGAGTTAGAGGGGAAATGCGTGTGATGCCGAAGTTTAGTTCTTTCTGTTGTCTTCCCTCTATCTCCGTCAGGGAATCCACATACCGAGACGCTCCACTCAGGAAGATTCAATGCGTTGCGTTGCTTTTCTCTTCTTATGAATACGCTCTATGCACGAACCCTGCTGACGTATGTCAGAAAGAACCTCAACCAACTTCTTAACTTCCACTAGCACGTTCTGCAGGCAAAGTATATGGCGGCAACACTTTAATAAAATTCATTTCCTCAGAAACGGAGACAACGATTTTAGAAACTGATTCGCTAGTCGTATTTCGCACGATATGAGAGAATACTCACCCTCAAAGTTGTTGATATAGCTCGAAATATATAATTTAAATAACTTCTCTTTTTTACTCTAATGTGTGACAGCTAACTGCCTCACACAGTGTTGTTAACATCATTCACGTTAAACGCAGAAAGTTTTTGTAAACAGCGGGTGTAATTTGACGCTATCTCCACCTAACGCAAAACCGGCTTCTGGCCGTAGACTGACGCAGCACCGGATGTAACTGGGCATGCTGAGACAAATTCGGAAGCGATCGTGCATAGAGTCTATTGCACACGTGATACATAGCTAGAATTAAACCATTTGCCCAAATTGCTAGAACTGCCTTTTTTATGTATGATAACAGAAATAAAATTGAGACAAATAACTGTTAGGTCTGGGAACTCATCATTGACACGGCTCAATCCGAGGGGTGGGATAAACGGTGGTCTTTAAAATTCTCTCTGCATCCAATTGGATAGCACTACAGCCAATCAGAGCAACGAAGGAGGTGACGGCTGAGTCCCATGCGTTTTCCCACCAGTGGAGCAAGTTGATATATTAAACTTTTAACGTATCCAGTCAGCAAAACTCCGAACATTTTTTTTTTTTAAATGACTCAAGTGCCGTTCTTTGTTCTGGTTTCAAAGAAAAGCTTAAGTTCAAATCATCCAGAGTCGCGGTCAAAGCCGAATCGAAAGACAGCTGATCGCCAGCAGCAGCCATTCTGTGTTTTCAAGTAGCAGTGAACTGTCGCAACTCTGTCGCCATTATGTTAAGCCCGCCCGCCGACTCTATACACGATGTGATTGGCCTGACCAGAGTTTGGTTTTTCCTGCTAAAACGTCTATGGAGAGTCGCTCGACCACACTGGCTGCAAAATAATTTTTGCTGCCGCTAGGGTGCGTCTAGATTTCTAGTGTGACGGGTCTCCGATTGTCTCCGCTGTTGTCGACCTGTGGGCGTGGCTGGGAGACGTGTCAAGAGAACATTGTACACCTGTGCAGGATTAGCGAGTGATCTACACCTGTATATAAGCTTAGGCTTTGAGAATGTTAAGGGAGCTTTTTGAGATCTGCTGAGCCTGCCAAACGTGTGAGAGTGAAGCTCCCGTTCTTTTTTGTGTTGGGTTTGTTTTGTTTCCCTTTGCTATGATTTAATCTTAGTTCTGTCTGACGTTTTCAACATCGCTTGTCAGACAGAAATGGTATTAGTGTTTAAATTGTTTATCTATTCTGTTTATTCTTCTATTTATGTTAATAAATGCACTGAAAACCAAGCCAACTACCTTATGTCCTCCACTTATTTGTCACGGCTTTGAGCCGGGCGTGACACTAGGCTAAAGGATACTAGCTTTGAGCAAGAGAAAAATCCTCTGCCCAGATGGTGAAATGATACTTTAGTAAATGTACAAGGCTGCAATGGGATTACATCTCGCAAGACTTTGCTAAGCATTTCATGAAAAAGTGCAGAGCAAGATGTAGACAATTTAAAAGACATTGACAGTCCTCTTGGTGATGCATCTTAGAGTTGTGAGGCAAAATGAGGTAAAGAGCTCTTAATCTTTAGAGTACATGTGCTCTAATACTTTACATTGAACATTATGTACATAGAAGTTAATTTAAAGTCCCCATAATCTTTTATTAACACTTTATTTCGATAGTCCACTTTAGACATACTAACTATCAGTAACTTTATGTTTACATAATTTTACAGTAACTATGTCAACTAACTTGAATTAGTAGACTGTCTGCTTAATATCTGCTAAAACTTTATGCTCAACAGACATTTTGACAACAACCCTGCAACTACATGTCAACTTATTCTACTATCCTGAACCCTACCAGTCTACTAACAGTCTAATGAGAGTTAATTGACATGTAGTTTCAAAGTTACTTACAGTTAGTTGAGTTTCTAAAGTGGACTCAACATAAAGTGTAAGCCAAGTCTGTCTAAACAAACTTAAATACGAGTTAAATAAAATAAAATAATTTATTGTAAACGTTGACAGATGAACCTGTCTTTCATTGTATGCTTAAACGTTACATGCTGACGAAAGTTTCTCAGCCAACACATTCTCGTCCCAAGGCATCATATACTGACGCTTTTGCCAATGCGTATACATCTAACGCACATGGCACCCTTTAGCGTCAATATAACACGCACAAAAGGCGCTTTTCCACTGCATAGTACGGTACGGTTCGGCCCAGTATGCTTCGACTCGGCGCGGAACAGTTCGGCTCGCTTTGCGTTTCCACTGCAGTAGTACCCCTTCAAAGTGTGTGTGGGACTGATCGTTATTTGCGCGCGCCTCTACTGCCATGACATCATCTTAAAAGCGCCACATTTTCAAACCCACAACACAGGAACAATGCAGACTATCGAGGGGATGGTGTTCCTGATTCTCGGTATGTGGTTGTTTTTAACTGCTAGACGGAAAAATGTGTTTAAAATGAGGCTGATGGCAGCAAAACAAAAATACTGCTAAAAAAAGTGTCTCGTGTCTCGTGTCGCAAATCTAATGACGCTAGTAGTGACGCTGGTAGTGACGATTCTGTCTGACCAATCAGTGATCTGCAGTGTTTCACGTCACATTTTAGTACCGGTACGGTACGCTTGGAACCTCAACAGACCAGGTACCATTTAAAGCGACCTGAAGCGAACCGTACTGTACCGTACCATGCAGTGGAAAAGCACCACAAGTGAGCCGTACCGTTTAGGTCTGGGGTAGGGTTAGGGTTAGACCTCTAAGAGACGCCTTCTGCCCCATATATATATATATATATATATATATACAGTATATATATATATATATCTGCGTCTCATATTGATGCTAAAGGGTGCCATGTGCGTTGGATGTATACGCATTGGCAAAAGCGTCAGTATATGACGCCTAACAGCAGGTTTGTTACACACCTACTCGATGATACATTCATATTGTTCCCATCATTATCTCTATGAATAGGGTTTAGATAGACAGATTGTATAAT